GCAAATTTCCATTTGCTTGATCGGATTTTAACCACCATACAGTGTTAATTGGATTTTCTTTAAGATGACAGATTTATTCCCTATTGCGTTACATTAGGTTATGTTTACATTAGGTTAAATGAGTACTTAGGTTTACTGCTAGAAGGAAGGTAATAAAATGATTATAGTGAAATGTTATTAGCTCGGTATGAAAGAAATAAATCTTATAAATTTGATCAAAATGCATCCATAGGCAAGCAATTTACAACAGTTTATCAAATTCTGTAAATAATGACACAAACATTTAAAATGAAGATTTTTTTGCATTTTCTTCGTAACCATCGATGGTACTGCATCAAATCAATGTACTTAATTATTTGGTTTTTAAACTTGTTCAGATTGTTCAAAATTGTTCAGATAGAAATAGGAAAATGTAATGAGTTTAGGGTCAAAATGGGAAAACCAATATTTACACCATAAACCCCGTATAAAACCTTGTTTCCATAGTCCGATCACACTAGTTCGTGAATACGTTCGAATAAACGCAGGTTTACACGTTTGTACCAAATTTAATCAAAATCTGATCATTTTCACTCGAGATATATAAATTTGGGCGAATGGTTTTAAAAACCAACAGCAGTTTCAATATCCTCACTTTCTATTATAATCATTATAATCGTTATTGTGTACGGATTATGTTATTTGATTGCTTAATCACATTTCGTAACGATTTTGATTTATAGTCATTTTATTTTTATCATTAATTTGTTTTTGTATATTTTATATTACTAATTCGGTGGATTTCTCCTATGGTTGCTTGATATTTACCATAACACAATTTTTGAATTAAATCAAATTTATCCCTCGATAGTAGAATATTTTACTATCTATGAAAATGTCCTTTAGGCCAGGATATGAAATGTAATTTCTATTTAACATATTCTATTTGACATAAACTATTTTACACGATTTGCTTTTTCCACTTCGTGATAAAATCCCCTTTATACTCCTCTACCATATCGATAGAAGGAATCGAGATATTAGCTAACCTATACTGTATATACATTAAATCCAAAGAAAAGCGTCTCCTAGGTGTTTTTAAGCTCTCAATGAATGTCATGAAAGCCTATTGGATAAGGACAACCTCACAATAATTTTATTACTTTCTTAAAATTGTTTTAAACCGTTCCTTTCGATTGAAAGTTTATTAAAATATAAGTTTTCTAAAAAATTATTTAGGGTGGTATTCTTGATTTTTCATGATTCATTGAAAACAGAATAAAGGTGTCCGCCGCTTATCAGAACACTTAGGACACAAATTATTATAAAAGCTGGTTACGGTCTTTGCACGGAACAAATCATAATACTATGCCACCACAATAAAATACATCTCAAAGTTGGCTGGTCATAAATAACCTTAAGTTTCGTATTTCCGAACAACGTTCTTTGGAGAATGGATACAGAAAATAGTGCTAAGGCAAACAATATTTACTAGTAGTCAAAATGTTTTAACCTTTCTTTGTCCCGACCCTAACATACATCATCATAGTTAAAACTACCCATGATGTTTTGATTATGAATATACACGATATTTAACACGAAAATCGTCCGTGGAAAATGTATCTCCTTTAATAATTTCTATAACGTGATTCGGCTTGATTGAAAACTCTCAAGTGGCCAGGCAACAATAGAATGTACAATACAATGCTTTGATATTGTTTTGTCTGTTGAGAGGTATTAAGTAGCTGAAATCGCTTTCCTACACAATAAACTTACTGACTTATATTCCTGTTTACTTATAATCTTTGCCTTTGATTGTTTTAAGTGTCTGTATCGAAGACATTTCTGACATCAAATCTAAGTAATAACCTAAGTAACCTTGATAAATAGTCTACTCGTGTAAATGATAGTTCTGGTGGTAAAGGATTGTTTTAAAAACAATTAATTAACTCTTATTCATCGGTGATTGAAAGATTATTGATTATTTTAATCATACTGTATCGGGTCAACCCTTGCTTGATTAGTCATGTCGTGGCCTTGTGTATGCACGCGTATTTTGTTGAGTTTGATAATTGAAAAAGGTTGCTTCATTTGAAAAGATTTATTCTAAATATATAATTGATTGATAAAAATGTGTAACGTTGATGACTTTTATTTAACACTAATTATTATTAATAATAACATATGATTTAATAACTTCTTGAAATAAGGGTGTAGGATTCCCAGTCTTGAAAACAATATTAATTAAATGTGTAGGCTAGTGGTTAGCGTGTGTACATGAACAACTAATTTTATATAGTTTTGCTAAAGAGTCAACTTTCGTATTTTAATAGGTACTTGTAAATGTAATGTTTCTCTATGCAATTATGTACAATGAAATTGGTCGCAAGGGTTTCCTGTATTTTATTAACTGATTCGTTTTATTATGTGATTAACAAAGGGATTATTGCTGATATAATAAAGGTGCAATTAGTAAAGACACGGGCAAACTTTATAGTATTTCGAGTTCAAGCGCAAGCCATATCCCCCACAATGTGTCTTTCAATAGATATAATAATAAACGTAAAGGAGTAAATATAGACGGTTAGTAGTAGTTAGATTTAATATAAAAATAAAAAAAAGGTCAAGTGTATAGATTCTCTCATACGTTTCAAATCAAATAATTTGGTTTACAACTACTCACTTCAGATAACAGTAGAGGGGATAGCGTTCCGATTCTACTTTTGTTAGTAATTGTTTGGACTATGGTGAGCGTTCCCACACTGGTTAATTTACGATTACACCACTTGGGAATGTCTTGACGACATATCTTGTGGTGTTTATATGATGTTGAGTGACGCCTCGTGGTTCCTGTAAACATTAACAATACACGTCACGCCACGCCGTACCATGGAGCATAAACATAGCTGGGTCGTGGTAGAGGCCATAGAGTTATAAAATATTCCTCCTAAAAATAATTCAGCCATTGCATTTGTTAGATACTATAATCTATCTATGAAATTACCAATGGAAATAAAATGTTGGTGTCAGATTAAAGAATTGACTAAACATTTAACGAACATTAAATACATCGTAGATGGCGAGGTAACTCCTGGACCAACAGTATTCGTTTGAATTTGCATGTATTTGTGTATATTTGAACGCGATAACAACATTTTGAAGGCATCGACGTGTAGGGCTACATAAACCTTAATGAGTCGCAAACCAGCAAGTTTGGTTAACATGAACAGGGTTTTATTTGAATAAATACATATTTCAACTTTCAAAACATAAACGTATCCCATTTTCATTTCAGTCGTCACATCATAGTATATTTAGTATACAGATGGTGCATTTAAATGTTTCTTTACTCGATATGGATAAAATTTAAAAAAAAAACTGTATATTTAAAATGTGTAGGCCTGTGTTACCCTCGGGGAGAAGAGTAAACTGTTGCAGTCTGGTTGTTTATGGACACATTGATAAAAATTGTTAAATATAATTTAAACTATTCTATTTTAATTCAGAATATATATATATATATATATATGAATTTGAACGGATGGTGTTTTTGGCCTCTAGGGACCTCAAAACGAAAAAGTAAATCGGTCCTGGGTACAGGTCTTACCATGAGTACTACGGTAATAGCTTATTCCCAATATGGGAAATTCGCCAATACATAAGAGTGTCGTTTTTATTATTCCATAACATTAGCGTACCAACAACATAATATGTCTTTTAGGTTATGTTTGCTTTTTAGGTTATACAAATATTAGATCAACGGATATTTGTATTTTATAGAAACACGAACTGTGAAATCAGCTGATTTAGGGAGCGGAAATTAGTCATTCTCACCCTGGAGCGAAAATTAGCTATTTTACGTACTGTTTACAGGTGTAGCTATGTTATAATTTTCATGCACCATGTTATGATTTGCATGTTATAATAGTTATTTTCCTACAGTCACCTGACAAAGTGGCCTTCCTTGCACTGATTGCTGCATTTACTTACTTTTACCGCATACTTTTTACTTTTGCCGCACACCAGTATTTCAACAAAACAACACAAAACCGCGTGCTTTTATTAGGCACATAAAACTCTAACTTTTTCAAAACTCCTCTTATCAAAGTCGGATTTGCGGCATTATTTACCTTTTTCAACGCTTTTTAATCTGATTTGCTACTTGACAGGGGTTTAAATTACCCCCAGCAACCCCTATTTAGGGGGGTAGGGGTGAATTTCAAATAACCACCAAAAAGTACTTTACATTATCCTAGTAACGTGTATCCTAGGAGAATTAATGTTTAATCCTCCTAGCGTGTATCGAAGCTAGTTTGAATATATGCAGCAGTTCAAAGATTAAGCAGGGGGGACTATTATGGGACACCTGGTATACTGTTAACGTTACTTTTCCTGTAGCAGCAATGTTATTTAAATTGGGGATGAATATAACTTGTTTGTGGAAAGTCTTTTGTTTCTAATCAAGACAATTTGAAATTCGCTAGTCTTGCAGGTTTGCTGTGGTGGGGGTATTTTAATGATTTCGACATCAGATGGAATTTGATTAATTGCATTACATCCTACTACAATGGTACTTTAAATGGAAATATTTCAAGGGAATACAATTCATTTTTAAGACCGTAATAAGATCTGTGAACTATTCCTCTCCGCGTACCTTTAAACTAAGTTTTGGTACGTTCGAGAGTCGCGACGATACACTATGTTATATTTTATTTTTATATTTTATTTTTATTTATACTATATTATATTTTTTTAGCAGTTCAGTCCCAGTCCAGTCCCATGTCCCATCCCAGTCCAATCTCGCTGTCGCTGTCGCTCCATTTGTAAGCTCTGCTCATCTCCAATCTCCCTCCCCCTCCCGCCCCCCACCAAGCGATCGTGTCCGTTCCGTACTGTACACTGTACTCCGTCCGTCCGTCCGTACTCCGTAGTCCGTGTCCGTAGTCCGTACCGTAGTCGACAGTCGTGTCGTAGTCCGTCGTCAGTCCGTTCCGTGTCCGTGTCGTCATCGACGTCGTCGTCGTGATCCCTAGGCTAGGCCATTGAGTAGGCTATAGTGTCGGTGCTTCTTAAGAGAATAATAATTTCAAGTTAATTTCTATTCAACTACAAAAAATGGAAGAGGACGAGGAATTTAGTTTTGCAAGGGTAAGTTATATTTAATTAGTTATTAATAACTCAGACGGTCATATCCAGATAATCGACTAGGTTGAACAGGTTAGGTTAACCGGTTATTTCTTAGATTAACCCATGAACATCAGTGCCAAGTTACTCAAAAGCTATAAGTTTTAACGGCAAAAGTTAGTTCAATTTCCTCAACTCACCTTAAGGGGAGTCGCTGTCGCTACTGAAACTAGTGATTAAAAAAAAATCTTATTAAAAATTATAAAGGCTATACTTTTTTAAGTTCATTTAGTCTTAGAAAAAGATTTAGGCCTACTGCTGTTAAAGTAAGAAAACACACTTTCTGTGCATACTCATGTTATTTTCTCAATAAGTTTATACTTTATGGCTTCAAAAATAGCCTATGTTTTAGAAAAATTTATTGGTGATAAATTTTTATATTTTTTTTCATGTAGGCCTAGGCCTACCGGTACTTTTATTTACCCAATTAAAATATCCATGCACAGAAAGTTGATTTATAAACAATGTGTGGTAAAAATTTCATAGCTGTAATAGTTAAAAAGTTATAAGAACTTATATATATAAAAAAACAACATTTTAAAGTCGCGGAAAACAACAGTTAAAGTTTATACTAGGCCTAACTTAGTTGATGCCTCAAAAGAGGTGTGCACGCTTCACTTCAAATATTTTTTTTCATAGTGATAAAAATATATACTTGTGTGAACCTGGCAATAAGTAGTGCACACGCCCGTTAAAATCTATTGCTGGCCGTTTTGTGGAAAAATACGTCCGCGAGCCATATTACCGATGATGCCAACAGATAGAGGACACTTTAACGGACACGACAGTATCAACATAATGTACCTGGGGGATTTTTTATGGGGGGTAAAACCAGCAATAAGTTGTGCGCGCGCCCGATAAAATATATTGCTGGCCGTATTGCGGAAAAACATGCCCGCGAGCAATATTACCCATAATGCCAACAGCTAGAGGACACTTTAACGGACACGGCAGTATCAACATAATGTACCTGGGGGATTTTTTATGGGGGGTAAAACCAGCAATAAGTTGTGCACGCGCCCGATAAAATCTATTGCTGGCCGTATTGCGGAAAAATACGTCCGCGAGCAATATTAACGATGATGCTAACAGATATAGGACACTTAAACGGACACGACAGTACCTATCAACATAATGTACCTGGGGGATTTGTTATGGGGGGTAAAACCAGTATCAAGAAGTGCGAGCGCCCGATAAAATCTATTGCTGGCCGTATTGCGGAAAAACACGTCCGCGAGCAATATTACCGATAATGCCAACAGATAGAGGACACTTTAACGTACACAACAGTATCAACATAATGTACCTGGGGGATTTTTTATGGGGGGTAAAACCAGCAATAAGTTGTGCGCGCGCCCGATAAAATCTATTGCTGGCCGTATTGCGGAAAAATACGTCCGCGAGCAATATTACCGATAGACTATTAGAATATTACAATCCATATTGCTCCGATAAAGTGTCCTCTATCTGTTGGCATCATCGGTAATATTGCTCGCGGACGTATTTTTCCGCAATACGACCAGCGATAGATTTTATCGGGCGCTCGCACTTCTTGATGCTGGTTTTACCCCCCATAACAAATCCCCCAGGTACATTATGTTGATACTGTCGTGTCCGTTAAAGTGTCCTATATCTGTTGGCATCATCGTTAATATTGCTCGCGGACGTATTTTTCCGCAATACGGCCAGCAATAGATTTTAGCGGGCACGTGCACTACTTATTGCCAAGTTATTGCCAGGTTCACACCAATAAAATATATATTATACCAAATGTTATGTTTTTCTAAAACCTTACAATCCATAGAACAAGATAAAAAATAATTAAAAAAATCATGTTTTTTACAAATTTGGTAGGCTAATTTTTTAGTAACATAGCGACTCCCCTTAAACGTTCTATAAGACGTGTTTAAACTGTTCCTAGACACCAACACTGACACAACAATGACTTTTTTATCACTGAGGCTTCCTGTAGACACCACGCCTCCTAGATTACGAGACACCACACTTAGACATAGGCGAGGGTAGATTCCTGTAGGCCTACTAGACACCAAACCAAGATTACTAGACACCATGCCCAGACTACTAGAGACCATTATCATTACTAGTCTAGGCTTAGACACCATTACCTAGATTAAATTAACCTAACCTAACTGTAAACTGGGTGTGGTGCAGATTTGCCACCCGTCCCGATTCTGCCGGGACAGTCCCGATTTTGGTTCCTCAATGCCCGTATTTAAGACTATGTTTATCCGGGTGGGAGGGGGCATTGTCCAGATTTTTTCCTGGCCTAAGGTGGCAACCCTGGTGTGGTGTCTAGTAATTAAGGTATGGTGTCTAGTGAATAAAATTAGGCTTGGTGTCTAGTAATCTAGGTAGGGCCTGAGCCTAAAGTGTCTAGTAATCTGGGGTGGTGTCTAGTAATCTGGGCAAGGTGTATATTAATCTTGGTGAGGTGTCTAGTATAGTAAACTGCCCTGTCACGATGTTTAAGCGAGTTTTTTCAGTGGTGGTGTCTAGTAATCTAGGCGTCGTGTCTACAGGGACTTTTCACAGTTTTTATATGTTTATGGTAATTTACATTGACACAAACAGCCATAGCTGCTTTAATTCCTTTTCCTTTATGTTAATAAATTACAGTAGGCCTAATAATATTGCTGACACATAAGAGTCGACATTTGTGTAACTACAACAAGTAGGCTACAATATAAGCCTACAAATCCAGGTGCTTAGTAAAATGCTATATTTTTTCTGTTAATTTCTCTTTGCTTAATTTTGTTTATAATAATGAGAATTTAGTTAAAATACATTTCAATGATGCAGGCCTAACTTATGTCATGACATAATAGTTAAATGATGAAAGTCTAAATAAACTGTTCAAGTGCTCCAACAATTTTGGCTATAATCAGCAGGTTTGATAAAACTCACAACTGAAAATAGCACCGTCACAGCAAACATGCAGACTACATGAATTCCCACTTGTATGGGATGTTTCCTAAAACATTTCCTTAAACAGGTAAATGATAAGTTAAACTTTTTCTAGCACAAGTGGAACAGAGCCCTAGAATGCTGTTTGGAAGAATTAAAGACAAACATTTCAGTGCCAGAAGTGGTCATCAACAACAAGTCAGACTGGCTTGAAGAAAGGTCAAAAACCCTTTTGGAAACGACAGAGAATAGAATAGAATACTTCACCTACCTCTGTAAGTAAAAGATCAAATATTCAGATGGAATCTATTAGTATTACCATAGCCTGCCCTAGAGAAAGTTACTCGATTGAATTTGCATATTTTGGCATAGGCTACTATTACTTAATACTATAGGCTATAAGTTATTTAGAGTAATTGGAATGTGAAAATGAACTTGCAGTGAAAGTAGCGGTGAAGTAGGTTATTAGAATTGGTGGAATTCTGACTAGGCCTAATTAAATACCAATATTGTCATCTCAATCTTGATAAATATGAAAGTTTTATAGTAAATATGTGATATTTCGTTGCATCTTGTTATGGTATCTAGTTATACCACAAAATTGAAACAAGCTATTTTATTTGGAAGGGATAGTTTTTGTTTTGTTTTTGGTTATTTACACATTTTTTATTTGTTTTCTTTTAAGATAAATGGACAACCCTCTTGAAGGCTGGATTGGAAAAAGAACTTTTTGAGGCCCCGATAACCTTAGCATCAACCTATAACGATGCAATCGAGTATCTACCGAGTAAGTAAGAGTTTCTATATGTATGTTAAGTACAAATGGGTACTTTGATTAGTGGTACCCTCCTCTCCATCCTTCATGATCCAGAGAAGATTGTGTCAAAGCAATTAGTATTGCCAGCTTTATATTTAACTAAACAAAACTAGAACTAGTATCTGGGCTGGTTTGAAATCGTTGTTGTTATCAATTGTTGAAATCTTTCTCTAAAGACAGGTCTCCTCAAATGGAGCCTTGAGAGTGACTTATAATAGAGCTAGGCCTAAAGGATTACTCCTCATTCTGACTATAATTATAACCACTTTTAATTGGTTGCATTTTTCCAAGTTCATAGAGATCACTAGTGTGTGTGTTTTTATTTTTATTTTACAAAAAACCCTTTAGAATGATGTCTGGTTAAGTTTTATTTCATTATTGTTAAGTTATTTTCTTTAACATTCTAAAAAAAGAGTATTTTAAAATGCAACTTTGTGAAGATTGTTTATTAACATTCAGCAGACATGTAATATGATTTGATTTTGATTAACACGTTCGCTGCTACGGACGTTCCGGAATGTCAAACGGGCCACGGCGCCAGGAGCTAGGAACGTTCCGGAACGTCTCCGTTCATTGTTGTTTAACGTTATGGATCAGCCAGCTCGTCACGAGCGTCCTATATTTCTTTGCAGCTCGTGGAGATGTACTTTTCTGACAATAAAAAATATAGTTTCCCAAAATCACCACTATGGTCGTTTAGAACAGGGCTTTGTTTTACCTCTTTCCTGCTAGAGCAACACTACTTTACCGACTGCAACCTGGGTAGTGCTGCTATCTATCAGAATCACTTAGTACAATGTCCAAAGCGAGTTTTATTGCAGAACATTGCCATCAAACATGCCATCAAAACAACTACTGTTGTTTTTACTGTAATTCAGTGGATTGGCAGCAATGTTTACGCAGCGGTGAGCGTTAGTTCAGCTCCTGGCGCCGCCCTGTCATCTAGCGGTCAGCAGCAAATGTGTTAAACAGACAAATATGCGACGCTACTTTCTGCACTGGAAAAATATTACAAGTAAGTCTAGTCGCAAACGTTTGCCGGGGATAGCTCAGCCTACAATGGCTGGGTAAAGTTCCAGGGTCTGCGATAAGGTCAAGGAAACCACTAGGCCAATAGCCGGGTCTAACCGGTATAGGACTGGCTCATACACGGGCACTGTGAACAAGTCAAAAACAAGTCACCAAAACAAACGTGCAATAATCACTACCAGGCCTACGCCGATTCTCCACACTCCTAGGGGGTCGTTGCTGACTACGCAACTCGGGCTTCGTCCTAACTATCCAATAGTTAAGCCCAGAGTGCCTAAAACACAGTGAGTTACACGACGACTTGCCAATAAAAATCACAACGCGAGTTATCACCAGGCGGGGTCTACTGGGCCACTAAACTACAATACACAACTCTAATGCCCAAGCTAAGAATCAAACAGTTCACTCAATAATAATACCATATAATAATATATAAGTATTCTATAGGCAGAGTGACTAAACCTCTAGTAGCTGGTCTCAATAAATACCAAGCTAAACAAGGAAAACTAGATGTCAATTGCACTACTATTAAATTATTGAGCTACTTAGTAGCAGATACATAAATATTAAATACGTTCCAAACACTAGATAAATATGTTATCTGATAGCCGGTACTCCGCTATCCAAGCTACCAAGATAACGTGTTGGATTAATAAACAAGCTGTTCAGGTTAAATTAAAATAATCAAATGATTAATCAATAACAACCCTACTGCTACTATATCAACGTTATATTACTTGGCTGGGCTTCTGTTAATAGGCTAATAAAATTAGCTACTAGCCTACTGGCCGCGTGCTTCCAACTACGCACGCCAAATCGTGCAGCCTAGGTTTGTCGGGCCTCAGAGTTATTAGTAATGTAACGAACTCTTGGTACAACGCAAAATAATATCTACCAAAGTCAATAAATTATATTATTTGCGCTTTAGCACCTGCCCAGTGTACCATATTCTGATAATTTGTACCATAATGTTACAATAGTTTGATACTCATACCATCATGTAACCACAATTTCTGTTTAGGTTGGCAATATGCAAAATCAGGCGATATTTCTAATAAAACAGCTCATGGCTATTTCCCGTGACGTCATATCACGCCACCATCACACCACCTTTCCGAACAAGCCTAAATCCCCTCTCCTCACGTCAGTCCACACCATGTATTAGTCCCGTCAACACCGTATACCCTTTGCGGCCCTCTGAGCCCTTTTAAAATGTAACAAGTGTATTTATTACAACGCCCCATCCCTGACACCAAAACGTACAGTACGATGACGACGTACCGTACAACTGGCGACGAGGAACACGGAATATTATCGCGTTTTAAAACTTAAATTCGCGAACAAAGTTACAGTGCAAGTGAACAAAGTGACAGTGCAAGTGAACAAAGTGACAAGTGAACGTGAAGAAACGGTCAACGAACGTCAAACAACCGCGAATATTGACTCAGACTCATATTCTTGGCGGAAACGTTTTCGTGAGTGTAGAAAGGTACACCTAACATAACGTTATTCTTTGTTTTATGGACGTAATATTAGACTACGGACAGTTAAATAAGTGTAAAAAAGGCACTTATGCCGTTGACTGAAAGTTATTTCGAGCAATTCGGACAGTTAGCGGAAACGTATTTTTCAACAAACATGGCAACAATTGGTAATATCGGTCCTTTTGACAGCGCCGAAGAAACTTGGCAATCGTATACAGAGCGATTTGAACTTTTTGTAGACTGCAACGGGATTAATGCCACAAAGAAAGCGAGCACACTACTAACGGTAATGGGAGTCAGGACGTATAAATTGTTAAAGGACTTAATCACACCGGATAAACCTTCGTCCAAGACGTACGAGGAAATTGTAGACACGGTCGGTAAACATTTACACCCGAAACCGTCGTTTATTACAGAACGTTTTAAATTCAGCCGCAGACATCAGTTAGAACACGAAACAGTGAGTGATTATATCGTACAACTTAAGCAGCTATCGCAACATTGTGAGTTTGGGGACAAGCTTCCAGACCATCTACGAGACAGACTGGTATCAGGCCTCAAGAACCACCACATCCAGAGACGACTGCTGGGGGAGGAGAACCTGACCTACGACAAGGCAGTACAGCTGGCAACGTCAATGGAGTTCGCCGAGAAAGGAGCAGCCCAGATGACGCTTAATCCAGGAGGACGACTTCAGCGCCTCAGCCAGACGACAAGGACAGCACCGAGCGGAAGCGGGGGAAAATTCGCAGCCAACAGAGGTTCGGCAACGTCACAGCCCCGGGAGTGCAACTGCTGTGGAAAGAACAATCACAATACTCTGCAATGTCGGTATCGTGAGTACAATTGCAATTCCTGTAAGAAGAAAGGACATCTTGAAAAAGCTTGTAGATCTAAGAGTAGAAGTGTAAATAAGCCCCATTTTAGTAAACAGTATAATGATGTATCTAAGACTAATGGACAGTCTAGGGGAGGAAATAAGTCGTATTTTAATTCAAAGTACAGTAATGCTAATGCTAGGCAACATTATGTAACAGAAAATGTCCCTGATCAAAGTGTAGACGAAGACACGGTATATGACATATCTAACTTATTTCAGGTACAGGGAGTAGAAGTTAGGAAAAAAGTAGAACCAATTAGAGTGCAATTAGAGGTAGAGAGCAAAAAGATCCTATTTGAAATTGATACCGGAGCTTGTGTGTCAGTTATATCTGAAAAAGATTACAAAGTAAAGTTAAGTCACGTAAAGTTACTACCAACAAGCTTAGTTCTTAGTTCGTACACACACGAAAAGATCGTACCTATCGGTAAACTATGTGTAAATGTAAAACATGAAGGTATTTGTAAACAATTAGAGCTGTATGTTGTCCCTAACGGTGCAAACCCATTGTTGGGTAGGGATTGGATGAAAGCACTGCAGCTAGTTGTTATTATCAAAAATAGTAGTAAAGTAAACAATGTTCAATCAGCTGTGGATGACAGCTCAGTTGGTACACCTGTCAGCTGTTCTGCTAGCAGAATGGTCGACACTAGCGCGCCGACTGAGGTGGCCGACACCGCAGTTACCAATGTAAACAAACAAACAAATGTCACAGTACCAGTACATCAGCAGGGCAAGCAGCTAGTTAAACAGTTGTATGAGGAATTCCCTGATGTTTTCACAGACAAGCTAGGTTGTTTTAAGGGAGAACCAGTCAAACTTAAACTAAAACCTAATGCAACCCCTAAATATCATAAGCCAAGGACCTTACCTTTCACACTTAAAAATAAAGTCGAAGCAGAACTAGCACGTTTAGAAGCTGAGAGTATTATTTCACCAGTAAATTCAAGCCAATGGGCTACCCCTGTAGTACCAGTTTTGAAAACAAATGGTCAGTTAAGATTGTGTGGAGACTATAAAGTAACGCTAAATCCTTTCTTAGAGATAGACAGACACCCTTTACCTAAGATTGAAGAATTGTTCTCCAGTTTGCAAAATGGAGACAGGTTTTCTAAAATAGATTTGTCACAAGCGTATCAACAACTAAGACTAGATGATGAAAGTAAAAAGTTATGTACAATTAGTACCCATAAGGGCTTGTTTGAGTACAATAGATTATGTTATGGCATATCATCTGCTCCTGGTATTTTTCAGCGCACAATGGAGCAAACCTTACAAGGAATACCAGGTGTAGCGGTATTTCTAGATGACATTCTTGTAACAGGACAAAATGACTCTGAACATATTAGTAAATTAAAGTTAGTTTGTAAACGACTACAAGACAATGGTTTCACAGTCAGTAAAAGTAAATGTAAATTTTTCTGTGAAAGTTAAGAGTATCTAGGGTTTGTCATAAGCAAACGAGGGTTGGAAACTTCACAAGACAAGGTCAAAGCCATTGTAAACGCCCCAGAACCAAAAGATGTCACCCAATTAAAAGCATTTTTAGGCTTAGTTAACTACTACGCTCGTTTCATACCTAGAATCTCAACCATACTTACCCCTATGTATATGTTATTGAGGAAAGACACTGAATTTGTATGGAATTTAGCGTGTAAGAAAGCTTTTGAAGAAGTTAAGCAAAAACTAGTATCAGCCCAAGTACTAGCTCATTTTGACCCTAAGTTAAAGTTAACGTTAGCATGTGACGCTAGTGCCTATGGTATAGGTGCAGTTCTAAGTCAAATTCAAACAGATGGTACTGAAAGACCTATTGCATTTACAAGTAGAGTGTTAAATGATACTGAAAAGCAGTATTCACAGATTGACAAAGAAGCTCTTAGTATAGTGTATGGAGTAAAAAAATTCAACCAGTACTTGTATGGTAACCATTTTTTGTTAAAAACAGACCACAAACCGCTTGTAGCTATTTTTGGACCTAAACAAGGTTTACCTGCATTTGCAGCTAGTAGGCTCCAACGCTACGCATTGTTTCTATCAGGTTATCAGTACGACATTTCTTATGTTAAATCCGAATGTAACGGAAATGCTGATGGTCTATCACGTTTACCAGTAAGTAATCCTGTGAACGATGAAATCCATGACAATGACTTAAATGTAAATATTCTAGGTACCTATTTACAGTGTTTAATTGAGAGTGAACTTCCTCTAAGTTATGTAGAAGTAAAACGAGAGTCAGCACTAGATCCTATACTAAGTAGAGTGATAGGTTATGTTAGATTTGGATGGCCAAATGACGTAAATGAGAGGGATCCTATGTTAAATCCATTTTTTGTGCGACAGTCACAATTAACTTTTGAACAAGACTCCTAATGTGGGGTTACAGGATCGTCATCCCAAGCAAGTTTAGAACACATATTTTACAAGAATTACACAATGGCCATGTAGGGATAGTAAGAATGAAGGCGTTGGCAAGATCCTATGTTTGGTGGCCAAATATCGATTTAGATATTGAACAAATTGCTGGTAATTGTACATCATGCTTGAAGGAACGTGTAACTCCGCCCAAGTCGATTTTGCACACTTGGAATGTACCAGATAAGGCGTGGTCCCGGATTCATATTGATTTTTTCGGACCTTTTCAATCAAAGTTATTTTTAGTAATTAAAGATGCTTATTCAAAGTGGCCGGAAGTGTTACCCGTTCCATCAACGCAAGCAAAACACACAATATCTCATCTTAGAGAATTGTTTGCTAGATTTGGCTTAGTAGATCACATTGTCAGTGACAATGGACCACCTTTCACAAGTACAGAATTCCAAACATTTTTGCAAACAAATGGAATCAAACACACATTTTCTCCACCATACAACCCAAAGACTAATGGCTTAGCCGAGAATGCTGTAAGAACAGTAAAACACAAACTTAGAATAGCACTACAAGACACTTCTGATTTGAACTTAGCATTATCAAATTTTTTGTTTACATACAGAAATACAGTACATTCCACAACCAATCAAACACCAGCAGAGTTAATGTTAGGCAGATCTCTGAAATCAAGGTTAGACTTAATTAGACCTAATGTGAAGGATGTCATTAGTAGTAATCAAAACAGACAAGTTTCAGCTTATGGTGGTGTCACAACTCGTAGATTATTTGTTAATCAACCTGTATTAGCTAAAGATTACAGGGGAAGGGAGAGATGGATAGAGGCTACAGTTATTGAAAAACTGGGTCCTGTAACTTATTTAGTTGAACTAGAATCAGGCGTTCAGTGGAAGCGTCACATAGACCAGTTGATAGCTTTACAGTCTAAGCTAGGGCAGCAGTCAGATTTAGTAGTAGAATTTCCCAAAAACGATCTGACAACGTCGCTTCCAGACAGAAAACCGGCAACATTGCAAAATTCGCCAGACCACACACTGACAGGGAACAGTAGCGAAGGTATGCGAGCTCTTCGGGGCACAGTCGGGCAGAAAACTCCGATATTGACTAGGTCACCTGGCGCAAACCAAAACATTGAAAGAGCGGGGTCATTGGCTTCGCCTCCAAATGTAAACAAATCGCCAAATGTAAACAGACAGACGCCTACTAGACGCTTTCCTGTACGGGAGCGCAAACCTGTAATAAGATTAGACCTTTAATTGAATACCCGGACATGACTTGTATATAGATTTATTTATTATATATCCTTATCAATGATTTTCAAATGTGTATTTATTGAATTGTGTGTACCATTATGTGTGTTATCAATATTTAATATCATCAAGGTTCAATGTTTAATGCTATTAATGTTTATGATTTTAAGTGTGTATTTCATTTATTTGTGTTTTTAATGTGTGATATTATCTCAATATTTTGACCATATATATTTAGAACTGATGATTGATTGATTCTCATTCTCATTTAAATGATTGGCAAACAAAAATAATAATAAATTAATAAGATATTCTGGTATTGTTATTTGTGATTGTAAGTTTTCAAGATTATAGTAACCGATAGCATCACAAAACTTAAGAGGGGAGGATTGTACCATATTCTGATAATTTGTACCATAATGTTACAATAGTTTGATACTCATACCATCATGTAACCACAATTTCTGTTTAGGTTGGCAATATGCAAAATCAGGCGATATTTCTAATAAAACAGCTCATGGCTATTTCCCGTGACGTCATATCACGCCACCATCACACCACCTTTCCGAACAAGCCTAAATCCCCTCTCCTCACGTCAGTCCACACCATGTATTAGTCCCGTCAACACCGTATACCCTTTGCGGCCCTCTGAGCCCATTTAAAATGTAACAAGTGTATTTATTACAACGCCCCATCCCTGACACCAAAACGTACAGTACGATGACGACGTACCGTACACCCAGAACCGTCAGAAATATACTTTAATATTATTCCTGACTAATAAATAAATCCTAACTACCGTCAGGCTTTGACCAGCACGGCTACAACTCTAACTCTCGCAATAAAATCAGATATTAATATCATCAAACTAATAATATCAACTCCTTAACCAAAATCAAAAGAACGTCGTCCACTCACCAGTAGCGGGTCTCAACCCAACTTAACACCAACACTGTTCACCGCTATCACCACACTCCGATGCCACCCAAATCACTTGACGTCTCACTAGACACACGCTAACTCCCTCACTCTTCGGGATCCAAGACTCGAATGTCCTTCTCGGCTATCCAGTAGTCCCAGGATACCCAAGCTTATCCGAACTGATAAGCCGGGTCAAAGGGCGCTAGGTAGCTTCGCCACCGCCGCCTGCCTACCTCAACAACCGGTGCGCGGCCAAATAGCGAAAATTTACCCCCCTAGGAAAAATAACTTGTTACAAATAGTTTATAAAAACTTTTAAAACATCTTAATGAACAGGTGTTGGTTGTTATTGAGTAATTTGAGATTAATAATTTAAAATGTCCAAGTAAGTAGTCTTTAATTTTGGTAGAAACATAGTACCCTGACTGTTATTAAGGAAAGTAAATAAAAGAAATGTCTTATAACATCAGACCCAATAGGCGAATGATAGTCATTCGCCTATTAGGTCTGATGATGATTGGAGTGTCCAATCGAAATCGATCACCACTTACCATCGTTTTTGTATATTTACCGTCTTGTGAGTAACAGTATAAGCGTAAATATATGTTTTAAGTGTTATAAGACGTTTCTTTTATTTACTTTCCGTAAATTTAATAACACGTACAATGCTGATCAAGAAGTTATTTTGTTATTAAGGCGAATATTCTTCTAAGGTTTTTTACTTGTAATCACCATGATGTGATCAACTGTGTTTATTGTTTTTTATGCCAATCTAATTTGTTTTTGTAGTTAAACTACATGACAAGGACACAACATGGAAGTACCTCATACAAAGTATGTATGCCCACATCATATGTGGGGATATTGAAGACAATGATAAAGTTGCCCTACTCACAACTTGTGAGAAAAAGTTTGCCAAGAGCTTTCACCATGGAGGGACATTCTATCTTGTGATGATCAAGGGCGAACGGCTTATTGCCAAAGATCAGGTAAGATTACTATTACTCAGAAGCTATTTGTGTCACCTCTCTATTGCCCAATTGTAACCTTTTTTTATTAATATTAAATGTTGGTTAATTGATCTAAGCCCAGGTTAACTCAGAGTACAAGGGATTCAATGGTAACTGTGGGTCTATTAACAAGGTCTGAATTCCTACTTTGAGAGTTCTTTAAGGGGTCCACCAAAATTTCAGTAGCGGGGCCCCGAGCTTATACGTTTTTTTGGTCGGCACTTATTACAATTTACTTTACTGACTCCATGTGTTCCACAGGTGTAGCAAAACTTCTTGCGCGGGAGATTGCAGTTAGTGAACCTATGCCCTGTCTTTTGACAATTCCAACACAACATAGTTGAATCATCCAACATTTGTGGTCTTTGACTATTTAACTCATTGCGGTTGTTGTTGGGTATATCCTGGTTACTGTCTGAAATGGTAGAGATCCTTCCGGGGTTAGAGAAAGGTTTTCGAACACCATTGGACCTGTATGGTGGAACTGAATAGGCTAGATCTGGTTCTAAAACTTGATTTGATTTTGGAGGAGGACGCTGCCTCATAGCCCTCATACGTCCTGCTTCTGCCTGACGACCAAAATAACGCAGATCTTCCATTGAAGTTATCTTGACTAGACATAATTTGCTCTGTAAGAAACCGTTTTTTCAAAACTTGTTTTAGTTTATCTTTTTCGGTTACACCTTCATTAAGTCGGCTGTATAGACCTTCCATGGCCGCCAAGTATAGATCAATAGCTTCTTCCTCTCCCTGTGTCCTTTCTTTAATTTCTTGCAGTAGCCAATCATCGTAATCCGGATTCTGGAATTCAGATTTTAATTCCTTGCACAATTCTTTCCATGAAGAAACACGTTGATGGGCTCAACGGTACCATATAGGCCTAAGTGCTTGTCCTGCGAATAAATCCACCGCAGATTCACAAAGTTCTTGTTCGGAAACTCCCCGTGCTCTTCTAAGCTCCTCGACTCGTACTAAGAATGCTCCGATGCTCACAGCTCCATCATTATTAAATTTCAAGTTCCACTTGTAGACTGGGACAGACTTGGGACCATATCCTTGATGTTTGGATGGTGTTTCTTTAATCGCCCTCGAGGGATTCAAGGTGATTTCCTGCATCTGATCATGCAAGGTATGAAGGTCATCAACAAGTGGGGTTTGTTTGCTTATCTCTGAGAAGCTTACATCCCTAGACCTAACCGGTGTAGAAATCTCTTGAATATTATTGCCTAGTCCATGGTTGGTTTCAGGAGGATTAACGCTCTTTAAAGGATCTTCTTTCTTCTCACACCCAGTGCCTTGGAAAAGATCAATAAATTCTTTAGTTTTATCTAATAATTCTTGCTGGCGTTGCGTGGGACTGAGGTCCGAAGAAGGTGCAATCGGGATCCTCTCAACTCTATAAAACAAATGCCAAAGACGGGCAGTCAGTCTCAACGCCTCGCTATCTTTATAGTCACCATCACATGCTTCAATCAGGAAAGCCAGGTCCGAAAGTTTCTCTTCACATGTTTCCAGTTCTTTCAGTTCATCTAGCCCATTTACTACATTTAGAAATGACTATTTTAGTAATGACAATCTAAAATGTTCTACTTCAAACCTTCTTTTACTCTTCAACCACCCCCTTTGTTGATGGACGGCTCAAAACACCCTTCAGAATTTAATCTTTGCATGAGTTCCTCAGCCATGAGTCGGGGCACCTTGAGAGTAGTAATTAGCTTGTTGAAAGACACTTGAGTGTTGTTGCAACAGACCATGAGTGCTTGTCTGTAAAGGGCTCCTTCCTTTCTGTTATTGTCAGAGATGAGGTCAGGAACAGTGCAGGTCTTTCCCAGCCCAGGGTTGTGGCAGTTTACACAGATATGACTATCAACTTGGTGGCATTCTAGTAGATTGTAGCATACCTTATGTTGAAATAGTGAGCACGAGCTGCATTTGATGATTTCATCTGAAACATCACTGCATTCACAGATGCAGCACACTCTCTTTTCTTGCAGACTGACCATGGATAGTTTGTCAGATAGGTTTGTGCCAGCACTGCTGCTTGAGTTGTTGACAACTTCTATGTTTTTGTCAGATTGATCTTGATGAACTCGGATAGCCTTGCTTGAGAACTTCCCTTTGGAGAAGGAGGCACAATCTCATCTTCTGAGTCCTCCTGAGGTTCCCTTCGGAGAAGGAGGCACGATCTCATCTTCTGAGTCCTCCTGAGGTTCCCTTCGGAGAAGGAAGCACGATCTCTTCTTCTGAGTCCCCCTGAGGTTCCCTTCGGAGAAGGAGGCACAATCTCGTCTTCTGAGTCCTCCTGAGGTTCCCTTCGGAGAAGGAGGCACAATCTCGTCTTCTGAGTCCTCCTGAGGTTCCCTTCGGAGAAGGAGGCACAATCTCGTCTTCTGAGTCCTCCTGAGGTTCCCTTCGGAGAAGGAGGCACAATCTCGTCTTCTGAGTCCTCCTGAGGTTCCCTTCGGAGAAGGAGGCACAATCTCGTCTTCTGAGTCCTCCTGAGGTTCCCTTCGGAGAAGGAGGCACAATCTCGTCTTCTGAGTCCTCCTGAGGTTCCCTTCGGAGAAGGAGGCACAATCTCGTCTTCTGAGTCCTCCTGAGGTTCCCTTCGGAGAAGGAGGCACAATCTCGTCTTCTGAGTCCTCCTGAGGTTCCCTTCGGAGAAGGAGGCACAATCTCGTCTTCTGAGTCCTCCTGAGGTTCCCTTCGGAGAAGGAGGCACAATCTCGTCTTCTGAGTCCTCCTGAGGTTCCCTTCGGAGAAGGAGGCACAATCTCGTCTTCTGAGTCCTCCTGAGGTTCCCTTCGGAGAAGGAGGCACAATCTCGTCTTCTGAGTCCTCCTGAGGTTCCCTTCGGAGAAGGAGGCACAATCTCGTCTTCTGAGTCCTCCTGAGGTTCCCTTCGGAGAAGGAGGCACAATCTCGTCTTCTGAGTCCTCCTGAGGTTCCCTTCGGAGAAGGAGGCACAATCTCATCTTCTGAGTCCTCCTGAGGTGGTATTTCATCTTCTGCTAATAGTTCTTCACTAGCAAGTTCCCTGTTCATAGAGGACTTTGCTGACACAGAAAAGGTAGTGTATTTTGACTGAACTTTTCCAAGCTTGAGCGTTTCTGCTTCGAAGGGAAACTTCAACTTGTCATCATCAGAATGCTCGAAAAATTTTGGAACCAAATCTGCTGGAATCTCTTCATCAATGATGAGTCTCATTGAAACGCCGCAACCGTTGGGCAATGGAGAAAGAGTTGTGGAATGAGTCAGTATAGAACGCATCAAGTGTCTAACTGACTGGGAAATATCTTCGGGCAACCCCTGGCTTTGTTCAAGCAGTACTTCCTTTCCACCGATTTCACCCATAACATCACAATTTATAGCTTCATGATCATATGAGAAATTAAAAGTATCAAATCAAAATCAAATCAAAACATACTTTATTTCCAAAAATATTGCAGAATATAAATTATAAACATAACTTCCAGTGAAACAGATTGCTATTGCATAGATAAAAATAATTAAATATAAAAATACATGTAAACTTAATAATAACAACAAAGGATGTAAGGTCTCAGAGAAGCTATGTTAAACATATACACTAAGGAAATAAGCCTACATGGGCTGGAAGCCTGTGCGTAGGCTCAGTCGCTATCAGTGACTTACGTATTTGTTGGAAAACAATAATATTCATAAATATTCAGAAAATCTTAAAAACAAATAATTTAATATAATTATAAAACTATTCTTTAAGCTTTAAGCTTATTAAGCTTTAAAGCTAGTATAAACTTCTAGAACGACATTCTTCTTTGCAATGATAAGCATCAGTTTCTTCAGGTGATGAGAGTGGACGAGATCAAACCCACTCTTTATCCATCCTATCATAGTGGTCGTCCCAGGAATTTCGTTTGATGCCTTTAATACGTGAACCCTCTGGTTTCGTCAGATGGGAATACACCACGAAGAAAAGCGATTGAAGAAAGTGACACAACCACAATTTTCTTCATAAATTCAACAGAATTGGTGACTGATATGTTTGGATTCACCAAACCAACATGAGTGGTTACCTTTTCTTGTTCTAATAATTTCTGGGAAGTCATCGCTCTCTTTTTGCTGAACTAGGCCTAGGCCTAAGTTATGCCTAGATGTTTTGTCACAACTGTCGAAATCAAATCAAGCTTAGGGGTACTAGCCAAATTGTGGAACAACAAAATTAGGAGAAATAATTCGTATTTGTCAATAACTTAAGTGTTCAAGGCTAAATTTAAGTTTTACAATGAAACTGACAATAAAAATACTATCGATGTGCATGAAAAGTAGAACGCCGACTAATTAATTAGGCCTAAACGATCGTCAACAACGATCATCACCAATACCACACAATACTATCGCAATCTGAACCTATTCAAACAAATCTAACTAAACACGAGAACGCGACTAAACTAAGGGACCTAGGCCTAACATGTCTACACATAAATTAAGACAAGTATCACAATAAACAGAAAGAAAAAATACAAGTTAAAATATCAGTAATCGTTAAGGGACCAAATTGTCCAAGGAAAGGGATGATTTACAATAAGAACAAAGTGAGTGATTTAGTGTAACTTAATGACTGTCTACTTAGCGGTAATCGTATCCAGGTCCTTTCACAAAACTGCACATGTCGAGACGAGCAGGATTGACTAGTAGGCTAGAAGATAGGACTAGTCTTGTAAACGTGACTATGTCTCATCCAGCAGCAAAGGACATCCCACGAACCAGCGTGCCCCGCACATATCCCTCGAGGGTGATTCATTTTAAGTAAATTTAGTTGACATACTTCTTGATTTAAAAAAAATTCAACTTCTCATTTTTTTTTCTTCGTCACAAAATCAGGGCTAGAGGAGAAGAAGGAGGAAGCATCGGTTTCAATCCACACATCCATCGAGTCATATTATTGAGTCCAAACCACCAATCAGAGGTCTACAACTTTATCGATTGAGTGAAGATGGGATGTAGCAACCGTTGGAGCGAAGAGTATGAAGTGGTAGAGGCGTACTATATAAAATATTTTACAGTGACGAAATGAAATTCAGAATGCGGTCAGGCAGTCGATGCGCGCTTAAAGACTGAGATGAAATATTTAGCGGGTGATCAGTCCGCTAGTCTGTATGTAGGCGTTACTGAATTTCAGAGCGTTACACAATCATTGGATACAGTTTTTAAGATCTCATCTGAAACTTAGCACAAACTGTCCCTGCTGTGATAAATCGTTACTTTATACATTACAATGATGCTTGACTTCTTCCCACCGTCTTGGAATGATTTTAATTTCATAGTAGCTCGTTAAGTGTCACCACCAAGCAGACATGATAACAAACAACATAGATAACCTTGTGTCTTTTGGCTCTTGCTGTTGGATTTCCAAGCATTCAATGGTAATATAAACGGCAGGTAAAACATCTCTGAAATGTATAAAAGTTGCTTTGCAAAATACATAACCTAAAAATTGCCTTTTCAATCAGAAAAGGCTTATACCAGAAATTTTTCAGATTTCTAAAAAATATTTTAGACAAATCTTTAAGAGTTTCTTTTTACATTGAAACAGGTGAAGCATGTGCCTCTCACAGTGACTCTTTGTATAGAACCTGTTTGTAACAGCAATGGCTATTAATTGATTTACTCAATCTAACTTAAAATAATATTAAGTTTTTTTTCATTTTAATTATGAACCAAATTTAATACTTCCCTGCCCTGTCTCTGAAAGAGAGTTCATTTTTTGCTTCGAGTGAAATGATAATAGCTTAGTATGAAAACACTTTTAACTTCCCCTTAGCAGCAAACCTAGGCACTTTTTAAATCTTATGTTATTTAAATGAGAATTAAATTTGTCTTGTTTAAGGAAATATTTGAGCAAAAATCCAATCAGACAATTTGAAATTAACTTAGTCTGCAGGTTTTCTGCTGTGGGGGGGAGGGGTATTTTTTATTTTCTCAGTAGGCCTAATCATTGAAATATATGCTTTTATGGGAAATTTGCTCAAATCTATTGAATTTGGTATTTATTTATTTATTTAGATAACAATACTACATTACAGGCTTAGAGCCCAATTACAATGCAGCATTAATCTTTAAGTCCATTTTAGAAAGTCCATGCAGTCTTCTTGGTAGGTACTCACAACATCACAATTTTACATAATATTTAACTACTATTGTCCTTTTCCTTGTTCCTTTTTTTGTATTGGTATTGTCCTTTTCAGAACCTGGACCTGGACCATCACATGCAGACCAACATGATTGAAACTTTTCAGAAATGTTTTTCATTTCCTTACCTGACCCAAGACAGCAATACAATCTTTGAGTTATTCAATAGTTCGACTAGAGGATTTGAACCAGCCGAAAAATTACGTGATGTATTCTACGAAACACAGCCGATTCGAAATGAAATAGAAGATTTAATAGAACAGGTCAGTATTTCTTATTGATAACTAACTGTGAATGTTCTCTAAAGACTTTGTTTTCAGTTGGTTTCAACTAATTTCAGTAGGTTTTTTGTGTGTTTTAGTTATGTACCGTATTGTATGTATGTGTTTGTATGTACCGTATATACCTGTATTGCACATTTAACTTATGTTTTGAACGATTTGTGTTAAATCTCCATGTAAACATTGTTACGTTTTACACTTTTAAGCAAATTCAGTGGATGAAAATTCTCTGTTGTCACATAAATTGTGTGATTAGAAAACTAATATTGGGAAACAATCCCGTAGCTAACAAAATTCTGTAAAGTAGTTAGTCCCCTGGTGTCATTGCAATGTTGCGAGGTGAAAAATACATTGGGTCTTGTGGAGAGTTCACCAGGGGATTTGAAAAAAATTGTTATGTCAAGCAATTTGTCATATTGAGGTATTTTTGCCGTTTTCTTCTCAGAATTGTGTTTAAAAGCATTATTTTAAATTTTAAAATAACCATTGACATTAATATGAACTGAACATCGATAGTATCCCACTTTCATGGTGTTCTTATCTAACAACAATACTGGACCACACATTATTAAAACCTTTAACTCCTAACAGGATTGTGTCAAGAAAAAAACACAGTTAAGATAAAGGCTTTACCTATTTTACTCTGAGATACTCTGAATGGCCATGATAGTGGTTTTAAAATTAGGATAAGAATTTTCAGGAATAAACATGTTTGAAGCAACATTTTTACCTTAACTTAATTATTATTGTTCAAAAGTTATTGCAACTTTTGTGATTTTCCATTATGAAATATCATAGTTACTCCTGACACTTACCCATGATAAAGGTTGTTAACAAGCTTATGGGAGAATGTATGTGTCAGATTACTCAAATTGATGATACCGTTTATTAGCGAATTTTCCCTATAGGGAAGTAGCTATTACCGTAGGACTGTAGCTCTTGTTTGGTAAGACCTAGAGGCAAAAAAAACTCTTCGTTGACATTTTTATATGTATAAACTGGACACGATAACTTGAGTAATTTTTGTCCGATTTTCATTAAATTTAGCTTTAAAGTGTAGGGCGGGTTAAACTTGAATGAGTTTGCAAACCAGCATGATCGGACCATGGGAAGGGGTTTTATGGTGTAAAATCTGGGTTTTCTCATGTTTGACCCTCATAACACAAACTTTCCAATTTCTCTCCAAAACATTTTAAAGAGTTTAAAAAACCATGTAACTTAGTACAGGGTGGCGCAAAAAGGATGTTCGGTTTTGAACTGCGTAGTACTAGTTTGGAGCGAGATGGTGCAGTGGACGGTCAAGCACAGCGTTTTTGATGTGGAAAGTTTTTTTTTTTTTTTTTTTAGAAACAGTGAATCTTTTATGACTGTGCAATGGCTGTTTCTACAAAATTTTGGTGTAACCCATACGTAAGGGACTGGTTCCTTATCGCAGATCATATCACGTTGGGTAACTGCATTTTAGACAACAGGGTCCGACATTAATGGCAAATCTACTACTGAACCACAAAACATAGAGACCGTAAGAGCGTCAGTGCTTCAAAGTATGCTACGTTCTTTTTATGTTGTTTTATTTTAATTTTTAATTTGTTATGGTTTGAATGACATAGGCTACTAGCAACTTTGTAATTTACAAGGTTTTTTTGTAATAGGGCATTTGAAAGTGTACAGAAACGTAATTCAGTAAAATTTATGTGCAAAATCATTAACGTTATGTTCATTTAAAAAACTACCATCTTTTTTGCGCCACCCTGTATATTGAAGTGTCCATTAATGGCAATTGGTTACAGAGAAATTAAAAAAAGGCTATTTAAAATTTCCATGTTATTTTTATGGAAAATAAGTAAACTATTGTAGTTTGATTGTTAATGGATATATTTTTATCAAACTTGGCAAATTTATTTATTTTATATGGAAATTCGCAGGGATATTATATTTATATTTTTTTTTTATATCTTACACTCAGTAAAATAAGTTTTTTGTAAATTTTGTGTTTTATATTTTTACAGGCCGAGACAGATAAAATGCATAACATCTTTCATGGATTAGTGGACGACATTTTGTCAAACTCCTCTATCAATCTTTTGCCTACATTAAACTCACTTAGTGAATGGATGCTTGAATTGAGGCCTTATTGTCCCTGCTTTTATTTTAAATATCTAAGTGCCCTTTCTACTGCCATCACTCAGAACAAGATAGAACCAATGCCAGATAAAATGGATGATTTGATACGTCTCGGGGTCAACTCGGACTCAGACACTGACCGATGCTGTCCAATGACGAAAGAGAGCTTTTGTGAGCAGGCAATTGTCATAGCTGGCCTACACCTTAGCATGAGTAGGCTCAAAGGTAAATATCTCTATTTCATAGTTGATTAATTTATCGTATCATTTAGAGCTTATGTAATTTAATTCCTCTGTTTCTAAATATATTTTATTCCAAACATTAATTAAAAGAGGATTGTGAGTCCGTGGTTCAGTCATTGACGCACTAAAAACTAATCAGCAAGGCTCATTCTTGTTTTCATTTCCTTGTTCTGCCTGGAACTTTCCACTCATAGGACAAGAGGCCCATGTGGATTGGCAAATGTGAGGTTTAAAGCCAATGTGAGGTTGCTCTTGGAAGAGCAGCCTCTCAACCATAAAACTAGAATCTATGATTGCAAATAAAATAAAATCTGACCCAGTGTATACTTTAAAATTGATAACACAGTAGAACCTCGATAACAAAACACCCTTGATAACAAGGGTATTTTCAAATCCCCTTGAAATTATCTTACCTCTAAACACATGTTATTGTAAACCTCGATAAGAAGTCCACCTTGATAACAATTCTTATTTTATAATCCCTATGAGAGTCTTGTTATCAAGGTTCTACTGTAATAATATTCTACAAAATCATTTTTTAAGGATGTGTTTTATAACAGTTGTCTTTGTTCTTGTCATATTGTTATTAGTTATGTTATTGTTTTTAGGCTATATTAAATGTTCATTTTGGAATTATATCCTCGTTTTCAGTTTTATGTTATTTAATTATTGATTGCAGATTTGATCTTTGGCATAGTGAGGGTCGTAAATATAACAACGAACCCCACAAAATGGCTTGGTGTATCTCGAGGATGTCTAACAGCCCTTGGAAATAAAATACGGGCAGGGGAAGAAGTAAATATTGATGAATATTTAACTGAACTTATCAAACCATGTAAGTACTACTCCTATGAGATTTGCATTACACACAATTTTAACTTCAAATTACTAACTACAGAAGTATATCATTTACTGTAAAACCAAACTCTTGTAATTTGAACCACCCGTTGCGGATAAATGTTACTGGATTTATATTCAGAACAAAGCTATGCATTCTGAAATACTAACTAGGGTTTCTGTTCAACCCGAAAACTGGAAATTGTACGTGATACCCTATGATGACCACGTAAAATCCAAAAACTGTGGATTTGGTGGATTAATTAAAACCTAAAACCGTAGATTCTTGATAATTAGTGACTTTGGATCTGTGGTAAAGTCGTGATTATCTACTGTCACGGACATATTGATCGTCCTCTGTGACTGCAGCAACATTGTGAATTTTCGATTGTGGGCTCTTCAGTGTCTGGCTTTTTCATAAAAATAGGTATTGATACTCAATGAGGCATATACAGGGTGTCCCACATAAGGTGTCTCAAATTGATTACGGGTAAACGGCTTAACGTACAAGGATGAAATAAAATTATTTCCCGCTAATTCAACCCCAAGGAATAGCTTAAAAATATTTAAAAAAGCCAAAAACAGAGGGTCACTAGTTCCAATCTCGGAATTTTCAAATGTAAACATATGTCATATTATACATCATTTTAAAGGTATTTTTTAGGTACAAACATTTTGGCGACAAAAACAGAAATTAATTATCTTTTTCCATTTCAAAATGGCGGCAGTTTTTTTTTGGAATAATCAATATATTTTTAATACTCTGTGTTTCCTATACCAATGCACTTAGCCCTTCTCTAATTGAATTTTCTTATTCGTTGTGAAATTAGCTTTACTGTGATATGCTACAAGTTACATCTTTTTGATAAATGAAAATTCCCAAAAATTTATTTTTGAAAATTTGCAAATTCGCATTGTTCAAAATTTTCAAAAAGCAACATATATGTCAAGTGGCACAACATTTTATAGGTTTTATAATTTACACTTACTTTGTATCTCTTTTAGTTTTGGGTGTAAATAACAAAAACATATTTTTCCTATATCAAATGCATGTTATTTGGGTTGAACACTAATGAACCCATTGCATTGAGTGTTAAACCCAAATAACATGCATTTGATATAGGAAAATTTGGTTTATTGTTATTTACACAAAAACTAAAAGTTATACGAAGTAGGCCTAAGTGTAAATTAAAAAGTCAATAAGAATTAAAAAACCTAAAAAATGATGTGCCACTTGACATATGTTGCTATTAAAAAATGTTGAACAATGGGCATTTGCAAATTTTCGAAAATCTATTTTAAGTTATTCCTTGGGGTCGACTTAGCAGGAAATAATTTTATTTCATCCCTTTACCTTAAGCCGTTTTCCCGTACTCAATTTGAGACACCTTACATAGGACACCCTGTATTAAGGGAACCTTTTGAATTCATCAATGTGAAATCTATTTTGCCAGGTTCTTGAATAGTAAATCACGCTTTTGTATAACATAACCCCAATTTGTACAAATAAATACACTGCAATTTATACTGTATAGAGAATAAGGATTAAAAATGAAATTACTTATATATTGAGGCAAGCATTACGACCACATAGTCCTTTCTTACAGTTAACCTCGTGAATAAAATATAAACTAAACAATGATTTCCTATAGAAAACATTTTAAAATTTGTATTCAAATTAATAACCATAAATTGAAATAAAAATCATAATCCCTGACTTACGGATTCAGACACACATTCACTCTCCGCCACACCTAGGCCTATATTTATCTCATCTTTTCTGACCGGTGCAGGCTGAGACCATGAAGCACTTCATCCGAAAAGTTTAATTATTGATAGACCCTACAGATTCAGGCATCCTATGAAAGCCTGTAGTCTTCCAGTAGATTCCTCCTCAGGAAGGTATCTACCTCTTACCAGATAACCAAGAATAATTCTAGCTTTTCACAATCAAAGAGCAAGTGATCGGCTGTCTCCTCTGACCTAGTGCATATCTAAAGATCGGTTCGCCATCAAACAGGCTCATCCGTTGTAAATGTAAATGGCCCATGGCCAGTTATCCGTTCTGCTGTTAATAAAATTCTTCGTCTGCTTAGCCTCAAAAAGTCAGCGGCATCCCGTTAAGAAGACGTGTACAGAGTAAGCTTGCTAACATTAAGGAGGGGCGTTTCAACCCAACGTTTTCAGCGCATTTCATTGGCCCATGACTTTGTGATACTTAGAACTCAACTTACTTTGTGAAAATTAGAAGTGCACACACTTTTTTGTGATATACCACAGATGGATTGTGGACTAATCATTGTTGCTGAGGCAGTATTTGTTCCTCAATGCCTGAGTGTCCAGGCACCCAGCAAAGCGTAAGATCATTCCTCCTACCCAATTCAGTCAGTCGCAGAAGCAAGACAATCCCACACGAGGCTTGAGTTGAATTCCTATGGGTTATATGAATTTAAGATAGCTTGACTATCAGGGTAGATATTAATTGTTTTGTCTTAACTCTTTGTTAAGATTTTCTCAAGCACAAACCGAGATAGCAGTGACCTCTGCTTGAAGAACTGTCGGGTACACTCCCATGGGAAGGCTAGGCCTAACGCTTGCCATCCCATCAAGCCATGGCCATCCGATCGAGGTAGTACGCTTTCAGTGCCATTGTCAGTCTGGAACGGGCACACCTTGATAACCAGTAGGTCGGTATTCCCTGCCTCTCTGACAACTGAATATCTACAGGTTGTTGCGTCACTGGTACTGCTACAGCTGGTCTGTCCTGTCCACTAACACAGCTTCCACCTCTTGTAGTCTTCCTGACAGCTCCGTCAGCTGACTAGCCAGTTCTTTACTAGCAACTGTCATGGCAATCTTGACTGCAGACTCCACTACCTCCTTCATCTTGTCTGATTGTTTGATGATAAGGTCGTCTAAGATACTTGGTACCACGAGATGACATCGGAACTGGTTTGGGCTTTGAATTGGAATGCAAATTAGGTTGCGACCTAAACATTGATTTTAATATCATTTGTTAATCTGTCCAACGAAAACAAATTGCCAAATAGATCTTTACACAGGTAATAAATTTCTGAACATGTTGGTTTAAGATCAAACAATTTAGTTATTTTACAACGAACCCCCATTTTTTTTTAAATTTACAAAACCCCATTTTACGACGAACAGAAAACAATGAAAAGAGGAGAATGAGAAAAAGGACTAATGGCACCATGAAAAACATACGATATAAGCTTAAGGGAAATCAAAGACATATAATTTAAAATAACTTGCTGCTTGGTATCACATAATTAATATTAAAGAATTGTTTAAGTATGCTGTGCCTGTAAGATAGAATGTTATTTGAAACAAAAATGTTTCTCTTTTTCAGTCTCATGGGAGTACTTCAGTGCAAATAATAAACCTCCATTAAAGTATGAAATTCCCAATCACGAGATATGGTTTGTAGAGCTGCTGCGTCTACGCATGGCAATAGTTGAAGGGGTCTACAACAGCAAATGGGAAGATTTGTTAAGAGAGTGGACTGGAATTTTTATTGATTGCTCCAACCCAACCCTCTTAGCAGGCTACGTTGAATATGTCAAGTATGTATTCTAAATTTAAGGAATTAAACTACTGATACGGTGTGTGATACTGGGGGTACAATCTGTGTATGATATGTACTAATACTACTAACTATACCTCCGATGTATCAAACCTGCAGACTAAGGCCTGGCGCACACGGTCGATTTTTTATCAACCGATTAAAAAATCTGCCAAAAATAAATCGCTCTTGATTTATGTCTAGGCGCACACGCGGCGATTTTTTTGTTGAGAAATGGATGTTTTCGAGTGTGTAGCTATCCTAAGAAAATTGACCTTGTAGAATTACCCTGTGTTTGTGATCTTCTAATTAGGTCTAAGAAAAAAAGAAGACAACGTAAATATTTTGCGTCCATCCAATCGTAAGTCAGTAACTTTTAAATGGACAGTTTAATAAACTGTACACTTGTTTACGTGAGGAATTTGTTTACCATCAAATTCCTATCACTATATTCTTTAAAATTTTAACCATACAGCTGCGACCTTTTTTTCAATTTTTATTTATAAATAGTTAAGTATTGAACGCTGCCACTGTCATGGTAAAAAGCAAGAAAAACTAGGAAAGGAAAACTATGACAACATAACTCACGCTGAGACGTTTACTGACTCCTGAGGAGAACAACAAGCGACTGGCCGATTTTTTTAGTCGAGCGTGTGCGCCGACTGATAACAACCCTTATGTTACAGATTTCCGGGCGACAATCGCCTCGCCTACGAATCTGCAGCAAAATGCAGATTTTAAAATCGGCGCAATTCTCAATTACCTATGTGCGCGCTTCCATTCCACTTAAAATACCTATATAATTGTGAATATAATAAAATAAAATAAATATTTAAATACTTTTTCTTCCCTGTAGCAGCAAATCTATGTACCTTTTGAACTAATGATATTTAAATATGACATATTTAAGTCATGATATTTAAATATGACTAGGGAATAAATATGACATTTTCAAGGAGATATTTTAGTGGAAATCCAAATAGGTCAAAGGAAATTCTGTTAGTCTGCAGGGTTGCTGCGGCGAGAGTATTTATTTTATTTCTTAGTGTAAGAGGTGGTGTGTTAAATGTATTAAATAATTAATTTTAAAACCACACACTTAAAACTGAGAACGGTCTAAACTTATGTATTTACGTTATTTGAATTGAACAGCATTATTACTTTCAGGAACCGTGGGTCCTCAGAACAAGCTCTTGAAGCTGTAAATTTTGCTCTGCAAAAGGTCGAACCACTCAAAACTTACTCACTACCTTTGATGAGATGTCACATCAAACTGCTAAAAGACAAGTTGGATATTTTGAGATCAACAGGCACAGCAAGTCAACAAATTGAGGCATCAGATGCACTTCATAAGTGGTATGTCATAGAAATTAAATGCATTACAATTTGCATGATGATAATTGTAAAAATGGTGTGCACCGTATGAAATAAATAAATACATTAAAATATAAATCTCCTTTAACCACACACAGGTTGACTGAAACCAAAGTAAAAATATTCTCTGTTAAAGCGTTTGACATAATGAAACTGCAGCTTTTATACGATTAGGCTATTTAATATTAAAAATCATTAAATACAACTTTGGTCATAGTAAGTCAAACTTAGGTAAAAAAGTAGGGATTTTCAGAAAAAAGTAGTCATATGAATGTTTTGATATTTGTCATTGACGATTAGTTGTTGAACACTGTAACGTTGATGGAAACGTAATGTAAAAATTACGTCCTTGGAAACTTATGATGTTAATGAAGATTTCAAAAGGATATTTAAGGGGATTTGGATATCCGAACTGAACCGAATCCGACCTGATTTTTCGAATATCCGCACACCTCTACAAATTACCCAATTGAATAAAGAGCTTATCTTTTAATGCTCCTTGTTGACTGTTTGGCTGTAAATAAGTTGTTCATTTTTTTAATATAAATTAATATGTGTAGAAAATATCTTTGTCAAAATGTTTTTTTTGGTCAGAGACGTTTTGTCAGTAAAATGTTTGTAGCTTATATGCTTAACATACAGTTTTTTTTTTACACGCTAACTCACCTTGACCCTACGGTTGGGACAGGGATCTCTGTTTTCATAATGACTGTGTATATACGTTTGAAAGATGGGGAATATTTGGATTTTACATATTACATCATTAGGTATGATCAACTTGTATATTATTAAGATGAACATTCCTCCAGAATCTGTCAGTACAGATCTTTTCACTTTGGGTAGCAAAATTCCTCATTTCATGTCTAAAGTTTCAGCGAGCCAATTGACACTATATAGTCAGTGTTGCCAGCAAGTTTGTTATTCATTTCAAGTGATTTTTCACAAATCAAAGGTCCATGATTGGTTTCATGCCAACGCACCTGCATAACCCATGTGTACACTGTGGTGTCGGTGTCTCAAGTCCTCGTTTTCAGTAATTTTTATAGTTTCTTAATGTAGAGTTCAGTTCCTTTTAATATCAGATATTGTTGCATTTCCAACTCCATATTCTTGCTCATCTCAATCCACTTTTAAACCACTCCAATATTTTAAGTTTATCAAGAATACTAAGCACTATGCGTTTACATTTGGATGAACCATCTAATCTGTACAAACTGCCACTGAGTATATATTAATTAAAGTATATATTTTAGTTACTTTCTTCCGTTAAGTTAACCAAAGTTTTGAACAGGTTTTGAATAAATGCTCCACTGTATATGCCAGAAACTCGCTCAATATTCCCATTCCCTTCCTATTACAAGAAATATATATTTATGCTGACAATTTATACAGGGTGAGTTTTAAATGTCCCCCCCCCCCAACTTTTTTCTACATTTTTTCAAATATCAATCCCAGACCACTTCCAAACATTGTTGGGTAGTAAGTACTTCATTTTGACAAGGTGGTCATTTCTGGCCACCATCTTGGATCCGCCATATTGGATGCAAAATATTTTTTTCAAATGTAAAGGTGGGGTTGTGACCCATTATTTTGAACTAGATTTTTACCCTGATTACAACGCCACAAACCGTTAAAAAAAATCTTGTATCATTCAAAAGTTATGAGGGCTTTTTAAAACTTTATTTTTAGCCCATTTTAACATTGTGCATTTACAAACTAAGGACCATAATCTCAAAATAGTGCTAGATAAAGATAAGTATACACTACCAGTCATTGTCATCATATTTTCTCTTTGTTATGACTGATGTATTTTTTCGGCCGCCATCTTGGATCCGCCATTTTGAAATGTGATTATTTTAAATATAAAGGGTGTGTTGTGACCCATCATTTCGAACTACTTTTTTAAGCTTAACTCAATGCCGCAATCATTTTTTTGTTATCAAGTTTTATTTATGAGATATTGAATTTTTTGGTTAAAAATGTGAATATTTCAAAATAATAATATGAAAATGAAAAACGGATCATGGAATTGAGTTCAGCTTAAAAAAGTAATCCGAAATGATGGGTCACAACACCCCCTTCATATTTAAAATAATTTATCATATTTCAAAATGGCGGATCTAAGATGGCGGCCGAAAAAATTACATCAGTCATAACCAAGTGAAAATAAGTCGACAATGACTGGTAGTGTATACTTATGTTTATCTAGCACTATTTTGAGATTATGGTCCTTAGTTTGTAAATGCACAATGTTAAAATGGGCTAAAAATAAAGTTTTAAAAAGCCCTCATAACTTTTGAATGAATCAAGATTTTTTAAACGGTTTGTGGCATTGTAATCAAGGTAAAAATCTAGTTCAAAATAATGGGTCACAACCCCACCTTTACATTTGAAAAAAATATTTTGCATCCAATATGGCGGATCCAAGATGGCGGCCAGAAATGACCACCTTGTCAAAATGAAGTACTTACTACCCAACAATGTTTGGAAGTGGTCTGGGATTGATATTTGAAAAAATGTAGAAAAAGGTTTGGGGGGGGGGACATTTAAAACTCACCCTGTATGTACTACTTTATACGATAATAGTATATTTCATTACAAGTGCCTAAGGTAACATTTTTAGTGTGCATTCAAGTTTTATGTGTGAGGCAAAGTCAGATACAGGAATTCGCTGAGCATGTTAGAGTGAGTTTCACCTACAAAGCGAAGACAATAAGGAAAGGAAATTGGGGCAAGGGTCTGAAATTCACTTACCGTACTGCAGTAGCTATGAACGATACGTTTCATCACAACATAAATATCTATTTGTGGTTTCATAGATTTAACAGTAGAATAAGCTGATTTAAATTATAAATACCCCCGCTGCAGCAAACCTGCCGACTAAGCGAATTTCCATTTGCCTGGATTGATTTTCAATCAAATTAACATTATGTTTAACGAGTACCTAGGTTAGCTGCTACAGGGAAACTAATAAAGTGTGTTTTTTATTAAAATATCAATAGCTTAGTAGGAAATAAATAAATCCGCCAAGTTTGATCAAAATATATCCATAAACAAGCCAACTATAACATTTTACAATATTCTCCATAAGAATAACATGGGAATTTTAAATTAACAATTGAAATTTCTCCGTAACCAATCACCGGACAAAAACACTTTGATATACTAAATTATTTGTTTTTTTAAGCTCTTTAAAAAGGTTTAGAGACAAATTTAAAAATTTTGTGTTTTAACACTAATACCGAAACCCCGATTTGACGGGCCCACGGGAATTTTCAAAAACGCATGTTGGCAACACTGTTTACTTGGGAGATTCCATTCCCCCAATACCTACCCCCCTTTTCCTCCCCTATTGATATATTGTTTGTTCATTTTGCATGGGTGCCATGACCTTGACAGGTTGTCTGTTCATAACATGCCCGTCTCAGAAGCCCATCGTTAGTGTATTTTAAAGCGGGGTCCCACAGGCCGAGGGTTTCGGTTTGTGTGTGCCTAAGCGGGGTCCATTATTTTTCAAATGGGGTCTCTCAGACCGGGGGTTTCGGTTAACGTCAGCCTAGGTAGGGTTTCGGTATTAGTGTTAAGGGTAAAAAATTAGAAAACCCCATTTTTATCGCATAAAACCCCCCGTTAAACCCCGTTCCCATGGTCCGATCATGCTGGTTCGCGAACTCATTCAAGTTTATCCCACCTTACACCTTCAAAATTCAAATATATTAAAATATATTTATTATGGAAATTACAACAGCTTGGCCTCGCCAAGTTTAAAAAACTTGTCGGTGAGGTCCAGTTGATACAATATAAGGCTAACAAACAAATAGTTTACATTTTTTTCTCTTTTTTTCTTTAACAAAGTTTTCTTAATATACTATATTTCTACGGCGGTTTGTGGCAGGCACTTTAACTTAAAACAAAGTAGTTGGCATCAAAATGAAAAAGTAAATCGGTCCCGGGCCTAGGTGTTACCATGAGACTTACGGTAATAGCTACTTCCCTATAGGGAAATTTGCTAAAATAGTGCATGTGTGTACTAGTGTGCGTAGTGGACAAATTGATAGCTGATTGACAACACCTGTCATGGAAAATAGCTACTTTCTGTACAGAGTGCTGATAGTGACATATTTTATTATAAAAAAAAAAAAAACTGGATAAAAAAGTATTAAGAAGTCTACATTGATACATTTATTTAGGGTGCTATGCAGTGTATTTGTTGGTGCTTTTGCTTTTTATTAACATACCAGGTATTTTCAGGCTTGCCAAGTATAACTACAAATATCCTGACAATTTTGATGATCTGATCTCATCATCTATGATCAATGGATTTTTTCCTAATGGATTCTCTAAAAGATCATGTAAAAAGCCATTGAAGTCGATGGAATCTCAGGTGAGTCAAAGTGTCACAGAGTTTACATAAAAAATACAATTAATTGTTTACTTATTTAACTAGTTACTCATGTGGTAATATCAGCAAAATGTGATTAGATATAAAAGCCATTTTCCATTTATTTAATTCAAAATAATTAATATCCATACCGTATACATACATATGAACTTTTATGATGGTTGGTCGAGGTTAAAAATCCATAAGAACCATACAAAATAGTGGGAGCAATTCATAAACTCCAAATTTCATAAGCTCCAAATCTATAACATTCAAATAATCACCGTTTCACAATGTCCAAATTTCACAAAATCCAACGTTTAAATACCAAATAAACAGAGCGGTTCATAATCTCCAAATTTCATAAGCTCCAACGGTACAGTCTGAGCCAGAAGTCTCTACAGTGGTTGGCACGGTCAGATAGCAGGCACCGTCCGCCGGCGCTCAACTACTGATTATACGTGCATTTTAATGATTGAAAAACACTTAGCTCTGTGACTCAAATATGTGTTAACACATAATGTGCAAATTAAATTTACATTTTTATATTTTTGATATCTTTAATTCAAACTTTCAGCTGAGTTTCTTAACTGTTCCGTCTCTCAATTAAAAAGCCACTACAAATATCGCAAGAGATTTTTTTTACCGATGAAAAATTTTAAAACTATAATAAATATGTTTTATAAGTATATTTTCTCATAGCTGTTAAATTTTCATGATGACTACATCAGTAGTTTTTTGTGTGTAAAATAAAAATAGCCTGTTCTTAGAAAAGTGCCGAAAACCTTGCACTTTATTCAGTCTACCCACCAAAAGGATGAGTTGAAACAACATAAAAAGGTAGAAACTAACATACATAAACGCAGAAATACATAAAATACAAAGAAAACACACACACAAACTTTCAAATTTATAATATTAGTTAGGAAGTACAATTATATTAACTATTATCCATGTTGCAATATATAAACTAATAACTTCATTGATAGTGTAAATCAAATAAGGAAAATGGAAATTCAATTAGTCTGCAGGTTTGCTGCAGAAGGGGTATTACCAATACTTTACACTCTTAACAAAGCAACTACAGACCAACAATGATATTTCGTGTCGCGCCGCTACAACACTAGAACGTGTAGGGCCTACATACCGAACCACGGCAACCTCTGCAGCGACTTGCAGAGACTGTACCATTGGAGCTTATGAAATTTTGAGATTATGTACCGCTGTGTTAATTTAATATTCTAATCGTTGGAGTTTGTGAAATTTGGAGGTTGTAAAACAGTAAGTATTTGAAAGTTCTATTTTTGGAGTTTATGAAATTTGGACATTATGAACCGCTCTGTTTATTTAATATATTAACGTTGTACATTGTGAAATAACCGTTGGAGTTTGTGAAACTTGGACATTGTGAAACGGTGCTTATTTGAAAGTTATAGTTTTGGAGTTTATGAAATTTGGAGATTATGAAACACACTGTTTATTTAATATTTTAGACGTTGGAGTTTGTGAAATTTGGACATTATGAACCTCACCCAAAATAGTTTCTTCAATTGAAATTGCAAACGTGCAATATTCTTTCAAAGTTCTTATTGATGATATTGTTTTTCTACTGAAAAGACTGTGAATTCCAACGTTTGATTTGCTGTTCTAGGAATCCGGTAATGCCAACGTCAAGTATGACTCCAATTCTCTGTCTGTAGCTAATGGTGGACAATATACACCTTCAGAGACAGAACACAAAGATTTGGGTAAGTGATCCTGAGATCATTGACTCAATATTCTTCTTCTATTTGGTTTTTTTTTCAAAATTAAGGAGGCTGCTTTGGTATTGTAAAATATCAGTATTTCCTAGAGGTTTACTGGAGTGACCTAGTTCAACATTCAACTTGAGTATCAAGTTCTTCAAGAAAATTTGTATGAGTTGCAACTATTAGTATGCTTGACATAATAATTAATTGTGATATATACTCTGGTTGTGATGTATTCTTGCTACAACATGAAGTTGTAGTGTTATAGATTATTCGTAACTGAAAGCTTCAATTACCGACGTTCAAATAGCTACACTTTAGTGACAAATAGGTCACAAAAGCAAGTATGTACATTAAAGAATGCAGTAAATAGGTTTAGAATCATAGGCATTAGATATCCAAAATATTATACATACATTCCTTTTGATAATTTGAATATGTTTACTATACAATCAGCATTCAGGTTTGATAATAGGCCTTTTGCCCCAAAACTAATTTTGAAGGTTAAAGACAACAATAGATATTGAGAATAAACAGTAGTGGTCTATGGTTTATACATCTTTGTAAACATTTTTAGAGTCCGCCAAAAATGTGTAAGATTTTCTTAAACGCAATAATCACCTGTGTTGGGTCTAATTTTAAAAGATATTCTCTTGAAATCACATAATAAATAGGTCTTGGATGTATTTTATTTGTAAGGTTGCGGCCGGAACCCTTATTATTTTAATTTGATTTTAACGTATACTATACGAATAAAACTGCTTACAAAAATAGAAAAGAATTAACTCGATTCAATTACAAACAATACAAATAAAGTTTGAACAATTTACTTAAAAACTACAACTTTTTATAATTTATAGTTCCACCTATGTATCAGAATTTCAATTGGTTGCAGAAACTTTTGAGAATCAGGAGTTAAAGGTTTTTGTCGTGAACTTAGACTACAAGGTCAAAGAAGAAGACTTAGTAACCGCACTGAACAGTGAAGGGGTTTTTCCATCCTCTACAAAAATCTTGAAAGATAAATTTGGCCAAAACCGAGGCCAAGCTATCTTGCAGTTTCCATCTGCAGTAAGTACGAACCATTACAAATTGAAATGTTAATCCATGACATTTGGTGTCAACCTAATATCTACTAGTAGTTTTCAAAAGAGATATTTCCTAACAAATATTGATTCTATAAATTACTGTATTGTTTGACTGCTTCCTGTTGTACAAAACATAATATTGTGTCTTTAGGGGAATGATCTACGGAATTCTACGCATACAATATTGTCGTGATTTTCTCCCACAATTATCCCTTATTGTGCATCCACCTACAAATATGAAATCATAGTGGTTTACTGGCCTTCTTCATGCTTTACTCCCCCAGTAATGATATAATTGTGCTTTATTTTCACATGAAATCATGATATCACATCTTTGTGGAGTTTTAACTTGAATTGTTGACTACTGTGTAAACATCTTCCACATTTACAATAAAGGCTTTTTAATGGATTTCTGTCCTAAAAAATAAAAATAAAAACTAGAATAAAACTTTTTTGTATACTTTCTCAGATTTCTGGGTTTAAAATTTATTGAATAAAGTAAACATTAAGGTTTCATTTTATTGTTGTGGACTTTGATACAAATTTGTTTGATCTGATTGCAGGAACTCGCTGAATTGGCTATTAAAGACTTTGACCATAAGCTAGTTGGTAGCAGACCTGTAAAAATGTTCCATTACATTATAAGAGAACAGTCTATTATTCCAAAAAAATTTAACACTAGGACAAAAGAACATGAAAAAGCAAAACCTACTACTGTCACTATATTTGGTAAGCTCGTTGTTTTGTTTTTTATTATTTTTTTTTATTAGAATACCTTTTGACAAAAAAATGTTCTAATATTGGACATATTTTGACATATACAGTTCTGTCGTGTCCGCCGTGTAACCTGCGTCAGTTTGTCCCGTATGAAATGTGGCCGGCCTATCGTTTTAAATGTATTTGTAACTTTTGTTTTTTAAATGTGTAAATTTTATGTGTCGTCAACCTGCATGTATACATTGATGAAGACTTACGTCGGATATTTGACCATATTCAATATTATGTTTTAAATAAGGATTTGATAATGGGTCTTTGTACACGAAACTAGTCATCCATAGACTAAGTTAAGACTGAAAACGGAACAAGGTATGTAACCTATTATATATTCTAATATTGGACACAAAGGTTTGAGATTTAAAGATTTTTGTTAGGATAGCAGACTTACCTGAATTTATGGTAAGTCTGCACCTAGTTCAAGAAACACACAACTTGACAATAGACAATAGACAATTAATCTTTATTTACACATTCATTAAGAATAGTAGTAGCGTCAATTTAAAATTTTTTCTAAATGTGTGGTTGAGGTGTTGTTTAGTCAAAGACCTGTTGATAGTATTCTTCTAAGGAATAGAAAGGTCGATTAATGAGCCATTGATGCAAAGCTGGTTTGAGGTCATCTTCTGACTTGCTTCTTAGATCTGGAGGTAGCCTGTTGTAGATTTTCATTCCTGCGTATGAAGGTTTCTTTTCAAACTGTGCCATGCGATGTTGTGGAAGGTTGTACTGCATGGTGTTTCTCAGGTTGTGTTGGTGCATTCGCCACGCCTTGTAAGGTTATTTCTTACTGCAAATAACACAACTTCCTGGATGTAGAGTGCTACAAGGGTAAGTACTTTGAAAGACCTGAATGCTTCCCTGCAGCTGTCGAGTCTGTGGAGTCCTGCAGTTATTCTGACTGCCTTTTTTTGTTTTCTGAGAACTCTTTGCATGTTAGTGGCAGAGGTTCCACCCCATGCTACAAGTCCATATCTCATATGCGACTCGAAAAGTGCAAAGTATGCTACTTTTGTTGTCATGTCATCTGTTGCATTTTTTATATGTTTAAGAGCATAGATGGTTGAACTTAATTTTTTACATATATTGTCCACATGAGGGGTCCAGGTTAAATTCTTGTCGAGTGTGATGCCCAAAAACTTAGCTTCATCTTCCACTTCTACATCTGGGAGTCGTGGCACTTCTTGAGATTTACGGCCAAAAGCTATTTGAGTTGTTTTAGACGCGTTTACTGCGAGATCATTGTTATAGCAGTATTGGTAGGCCATACTGAGTGACACATAGGATTTTACTTCTAGATTTTCAGCTAGTGGTTCATTAAACACTAAGGTTGTGTCATCAGCATACATAAGAGTAAGGCAGGCATCTCCTATTTGTTGCGGCAAATCGTTGGTAAAAAGAATAAACTTGAAAGAATATACCAAAATTAGAATATGTGACTTGGGTACGGTATTTGATTATTCAATGTAAAATATTGTAATGAATGTTCCAGGCCTGGATCCAAAATATAAAGACAAAGAAGCAGTTGTGTCCAAGCTTTCTGCTTATGCTCATGTCAAAGATGTTGTGATTAAAGATACCGACTCAACTTTTACAGTTCAAGTTGAATTTCACTTTACCGTAAGTGAATTGAATTCGTATAGCACTTATGTATAGTTACTTGTCTTATATAGGTAACTACTTTTAATTTTATTGACTAGAATCTGACTGTTAACTCAACTCAATACTCATTTTTATCAAGGGAAAATTTAATGTTCAATGGATTTAGATATAAACAACTCATAGATTATTGATTAAATTTATTCTAGTATTGTTTAATGTATTGTATTTAAGAGTATTTTTTTTATTTTTACCCCCATTTGCATTTGTATTATTTTTTTATGCTCAGTAATAACAATTCATCTACCTTTTGACTATTATCGTCATGGTACCTTTAACTTTTCAAATTCTAACTTGCTATACAATTAAAATATCAATGGTTATTTTACCACTTATAAAACAAGCAACCAACAAGCTGTGAATAGTAAAATAATGTACAGTAAAAGTATTTAAAAAATAGAATCTTGAAATATTTTTATAAAATATTTCCCCCAAAGATGTTACATGATCTTTAAACTTTTTCGTATGTAGCGTAATTTTGTAAATGCATCAGTATTTTGAACTGAATTATAATCCTCAATTGTCATTAGACACAGAATTGCAATAGTTATTGTCAAAGCTATAACTAATAAGTTGTACAATAATGTAGCTATAACAGAAAACTATTTTTTGGTTCTAGGAAGATGCACAAACTGTCCATGAAAAGATAAAAGATGGTGATTTGTTTGGGGAAGAAGTTAAAAGCCGTTTGGGATTTATTTCACAAAAGAATGAAGGAAAGAATGTGAAAAAATTGCCAAGAAAGGGGAAAACTGGGCCATCATCAAGCAAAATCCCTGCTGATAGTTCTGGGTCATCTTCCCTCCCTGACAATTTAAATAGTGAGATCCCGAATATTGGTCCACAGATTCCACCGGAACTATTCAAAAAGTTAAAAGAAAAACCAAAAAATAAAACCCCGTTTGTTCCTAGGTCATTAGCTGCACGGGATGAGCCCAAAGCGCCAAAAAGAACACATATGAGGTAAGTAATTGATTAAGGAAAACTATTTTCTCCTAAATTGGTTAATTATTTTAAATTTTTTAATAGCTAAAAACTAGTTAACATTTTGATCCAACATCTTGATATAGGCTAATTTGAATAGGCAGCTTACTGACATAAACTTAGAACAATGTTTTAATAATTGCGTTGAGGTTTTACGGTTCTGTAAATGTCTAGACTGTACTTTGGTAATGAATTTTATGTATGTCATTCATTATGAATGAATGGTTTATTCCACAGGAAATTTTTACATTTAAATGCCATGGAATGAGCAGGAAAGTGGCGCCTTGGTACTGCAAAACGTCTGGTTACGCTCTAGCACCTGCCAGTCTGTCTGAAGAGAAGGCAGATATATCCGCTTCCCGTCCGGAACATCAAAAACCATAAGCGGATATATCCGCCACCCGTCCTTTATCGACAAAGACTTAGGCGGATATATCAGTCACCCGTCCGGGAAGGGTTAAATTTTGAAAGCATTTTACTTTTCACAATTGTTTTATGAAAAAGTTTCTTGAACATCGTGTATCTTAACTCAATCAGGTGATTTGGTTGTTGCTGTAGTGTCGCGACGGCTACTCTAATGTTATAACAGCCACTCGCATATTTATTTACCATACCATTTATCATTAAGGTCTGCTATGACACGCTGTGATGCCACTACAATTATGATTGTACTCAAGCTTTCCCTGGGAATTCCCATAGTTCTGATAACTAATGTTTCAATGCACATTAAATTCTAACAGCCCCAAAGAAATTCAATTCCTGTAAGCCTGATAACAAAACTGAAATAATATCATAGTTCTGTGGATAATATTATTAATATTCACATGGCTCCAATGGAATTTTCAAAATTTTCCCTCAAGCTCGATAAAAGCCAAACTCTCTAAGGTTTTGAATAATGCGTGGAAGTAACTGAAATGAGCATGTGAGCGCTAGTTTTCTCTAGAACAACCTTCATTTGAAGTGCCCTATTTCCTGTTATAGATTTGCTGCTATATTTGATTTAGTAAAGAAATATACTAGTATTTTCTTGCCAACAATATTATAGCAAATGTCTTACCAAGGCGCTTAATGAACCTGTAAATTTCTGTTGTATCGGTATACCAATGTAAATTATTCCTCAATAAATGCAACTAACTGATAAATCACACAATAATAAACACAAATGGCACTACTAAAAATAAAATGGATATTATTCCTTTGGTTCATTTGTCAGAGCATAGGAAGAGTATACACACATCAGAACTATAGGAGTTTATAAATGTTTCAAATCCCAAAGGTTTTTATTTGGAAATTTACAGGAATAAATAAGTCCATAGAGATACATGAAATAAATATCACAAAAGTAGGAATTGTCGTGGTCGTGGTCACTAATCACTTTTTCATCCACTGGAGAAATGGCAATGGCAGTTACAATTTGAATCTATTACACCTGTCAGGGTTGCCAACACAGATGAAGAGACTAAAAACTGTTTTTACTGTTGCATATGTATGAATATGTTAACTCATTTTGAATAATCCACTATATTTACACTATTTACACATGTACACACACATATAAAAAATATATCTACACTAGCCTGCCATGAAAGGTGAGGAATGGGGATTATCTTTTATTAAGGTTTGGTGGGTTTCTAGAGTGGGTGAACCATTGGTAGCTTAGTTCCCATCTTCTCAGTTCTGAGGGGTTGCAGTTTGGAGACAATTGTTTTATTAGTCCGAACATCTTATAAGTCCAAAAGTATTCTATGTATGTGTAAACTATTTATAATGCATGTCTGACATGACACATATTCATTGCTGATATTCAGTCTCTGTATTATGAATTTTTGTGATGAATAAATTGATTTGATTCATAGCAAATTGAGGCTTTAAGAGTTATGAAAATTAAGTATGAATAAGAAATAAAAGAATTGTGGCTATGGCAGAATTGTAGAATTGTAGCACCACGATTTTCCTGACCCTTTTCAATGACACAAATAATGCTAATTTTTAAGTTGAAGTGAGACCCTGTTGCAACATAAAATAATAAATGGTATCAGCAATCTGACAAATAATTTCTCCCATAAGCTTGTCAACAACCTGTAGCAATGGGGGGCTGTACTATGTTGTTTTGAATTATAAGGATTACCACATACTAATTTCAATAAAAACTGGTTTCTTTCAAAAATACGATTTTCTCTTATTTTAAGGGGGTTTTATGAGAAAATAACATAATTTACACTAACTTTTGAATCATATTTTTTACAGAAATGGGAGTCATACCATTTTGTTCAGAACTTAAAGGGCTACAACATACTAAATTTTTATCATAATCGTTCGTGCCATTTCCGAAGAAATTTGATGTTTCCGTTATTTTATGGGTTTTTATGGGAAAATCCCCATTACAAGTCATAATTTTAAAAAAATTAAAAAATTGAATGGTGATACCATGGATTATTACCTACATACCCAATTTCATCAAAATCGGACTACAGTTGTGGTCTATAGCTCAGTACACATCCAGACAACCCCAAATGGATATTACCACTCAAAACTCAAACTCGAAAATTTTGGCGAAAACAACACTTTTTAGTTTTTCTCTAATAGGCCTACTATGAATAGGGGGAGAAAGTAATAAATGCAGTAATAAAGTAATAATATGCATTTATGATTTAAAATAATTTTCAAACAATAATCTAAACCCTGAAAAAATAACAACCTAAAAGTTAAGAAACAAGCCCAACCTCATAATGTTTTCTTGAATCAAATCAGCTTTTTTCCACACAAAATTACCAACGCTTACACGTTTAGTAAGAAACATACTAATATCTAAGCGTTCATGAAGAAAGACCCTGAGGGTCCAGTCATCAAGCCTCGAGGGTCAGATTGCGCTAGTGTAGAAGCAGTCTTGCATTTGCTGTTCTAAATAGAACATTATCAAGATTATTTACAGTAGAATTAGGCCATGGTAGGATACCGTGAGGAACTTGCGGTCCCGCTTCACCAGTAATTGTCTCCTGCGACCACGGCAACACCCGTGAGCATGTCTTGCAACTCCAGTAATCGTCTCTCGCGACCACGGCAATACCTGTGAACATGACTTGTGGTCTTGGCGATACCGGTTAAGCCTCGTTCTTACGACACGTTGTAGGTATCGCCGATCTCCCTGGTTCGTAGATTTCATGATCCACTGATGGGCTAGGAGGGAAAGACCTAGCCATTGAGTCCTGTTTGTAGGTTTTCTTGGGGTCTTTATTGTGTAGATTTGGTAGTTAATGGGTTAAGGTTTATGGAAGCAACCGGCTTAAATGTATGCATGTCAGGGAAGTTTTAAATTCGTCCCTGTCTTTATAGTGTTAATGTTGTGGATTACAAATTACAGCTTACTGTTCTTATAAGTCCAAAAACTCAATCATAGTTTTATTACTCCACTCCATTTTTATGTCAATATGAGCCCCTGATCAAGGATATCAGAGTCTTCTCCCTACCACGCGTTGTGAGAATGAGGCTTAATTGTCTCTCCCGACCATGGTAACACCCGTGAGCTCATCTTACGGTCTCGGCAACAGTAGCGATCTTCTGCCGCGATATCGGCAACATCCGTGATCAAGTAGACGGTCGGACACAAGGTCGAATATCCCGAGGAGGAGGTAATGACGAGGTTGGATACGAGGGGTTCTATTGTACTTTAAAATTGTTTTCGTTAATAGAAGTAAGTGTTACTATTTTGTTAGTTTGATTACATAAATTCCCATATATCCTAGGAGTACTGTACCTAGTACTATATTAATTCTTTAAATTTAATGTTTGCTAATGTCTAATATGATTTCAGTCGGAGGGTAGGGTTTCGTCAGAGTTCACCAACAGGCGATAGTGTTCCTAAGATCAGGAAATTAGGGTGAGTACATAAATGAATTACTGTCTTTAATAAACAGCTTTTCTTAACTAATTTTATTTGATTTATTTACTTACAAAAAGTACAAATTTACAAAACACATACAATTTAGCTACAAAAGCCGTTTATGGCTTGACTGTAGCAATTATTATAATTGTTGTTATTTCACAGTGCTTTTTTATTCAATCAGTCTTTTGTTTCCCTTGTTTTTTTCTGTAAGTAAACTATACCATGACACAGAACTCAATAATATACCAAACCAATCATATAATTTAAAGTAGTCAGATTTGAACAATTAACTAAAGTTGAACTGCTGCCACTAAGGGCACATCTGAAATTCATAGCTCTATTGCTCTAATCGTAAATGAATCAAAGACACAGTTTTCATAAAAAGTATAAAATTACCTGAGTACTGCCAGAGTGAACCTATGTAATCCTTATTGATGACACATTTCGAGGACTCAGATACACCCAGTTAAATGATTCCAGAACTATGTTTGATTTTCCGTGTGGGGTCAGGCGTTGTCGGCAATTGTTTTGCAATACCTTACTGAGATGGTTGTTATGTCTCGTTCCAGGAAATCCACAATAATCACACCTTTCCTATCCCAAAACTGTTGCCATAACCTTCCTTGCCGACATGGCTTTAACATTTTATGGGCTTATGAGAGGTACAGCTCGTGACATCTAATCTGGCACTTGGCCGATCGCTACTAGTACCTATTTCAAAAACATTATGTCCCGTCATGCGGGTTGCATCAACTGTCCTCGCGACCCATATGAAGGCGCTCAAGTACATAATACAAGGGGAGTAAACCCCGTTAGGTAGCGGAAATGTTTGCAGTCCGGTCTTTTCCCTACCTCCACCCTCCTCCCGCCTACACTGCCCGTGCTAGGCCAAGTGCCAGCTTAGATGTCACGAGCTGTATTTGTGTGCCCCCATTCCACCAATTTAACTTTAGTCGGTTCACATGCCTAACCCATGGTTCTTTAATCAAATCAATCAAACAATTAAATAACACAATAATTTTCAATAGATAGTTTACAAAAGTGCATACCATAAATGGTTTGTCTGCACACCCAAATTTTTTTCTATATAATATAGGTAAATTTTTGAGAATTTGAATCAGAAGTATGCAGTTTTCATCACTTGTTACAATGCTAATGAGTAGTACAGTACAACCTTGATAACAAGACTCTTATAGGGATTAAAAAATAAGACTTGTTATCAAGGGTGACTTGTTATTGAGGGTCTACTGTATGTCCATCATTGTCGTTATAGAGTCAATAAATGTATAGTTATCAAGTACAATGTATTATTTATGAGATCCAGGCTTATCATGATTTTAATTCTTACTTCTAATTCCAAGCATTAAAGGTCAAAATATTAGTTTGAGACGTGAGTACTATTTGATTACAGTATTGATTTTTCTCCAAAATATTGTATTTTGTTACATTGACAGTTTTTTGTTCAATGCTAAACTGTGAACATTATGTGAGCAATTTTTAAAGTCAATGCATTTTTTTCAGCACCCCAGCTCCGTCAGAAGAGGAATTAGTTCACAATGAGTCCCAGCCAGGCACGTGCCTTCAGAGTAAACCTCTCTCAAACAAAGACTTCCAAGATATGTTGAAAAAACAATAGTCTCTTACATCAGTTGTACTTGACGTTTACATTAGACTAGTATCAATCTTTACCTATAAGGTAACCTTTGTAAGATACCTTAATGTGTTTTTAAATTCAAAGTTATCTCTCAATATTAGTTGGGATTAAATCAGTATAAAAAGTGTATTTGAATAAGTCAGTGCTTTCATCTAAATCGTAGTGTAGACTCCAGGTTACGCTATAATGTTGATGGACTCCAACAACTTCGACAATTTGTCCGTGATCTGCCACGTACTGATGGTTATCAATTCGACCAGGTGATATCACAAATCACATGCTCATGGATGTAAAATGGAGCCTTTAGCACTCAAGCAAGAGCTGCAGGCAGTGAACACGTGTTTCCATATAATAACAACAGTATTGAAAAACAGTGCTGTGCTGTGACAAACAATGGTGAAGTGAATGAAGACTGTGTGAAACATTCGATGGTGAAAAAAAGTTTTTTTTTATGCTAAGAAAATTATATATTGTAGTATGTAGAAATTAAGTTCCAAAAGGATAAACTGAACATTTTTCATCATGACCGATATGCCTGTAAAGAGTAGTAGTTATATGTTGATTGAGCTTATTGGCTTATTCTAATACTTTTAGGGCATTTTTCATATTCTGTTATTTTGTGATTGTGTTTATTAGTTTATTGGTCCACAAACAGTGTGTTACCAACTTACCAATAAGCCTACAATGTAATATAACTTGCTAGACTACTATGTATGATTCAATGTAGATATATGATTGTAATAGTGATGGCCAAAACCAGAAATTTCTAATCTAAAACAAAAAACGAAACTCAATAAATCAAATCCTGAATCCCTAATCTCAAAACCCAAACACTAAGCCTTTTTAGTTAAAGTTTTACTACAATAATACGGGTAGTAATAAAATATTTATTATACAATCAAAACTGAAAGAAATTGAGTCCTGGCCCTGACAAAGCATAAATATGCGATTGATTAAATTCAAACACACACAAAAACATAATTTTTGACCTACATCAAACATTAAAGTAAATTAAACTACTGACCCCAAACATAAAAATGATATTTAGAACATTTAGTGGTCAATATTTATTTGTGTTTAGTAAATATGGGTATAAAACTTAATTGTACGCTATTATTAGTATTTAAGATAGGTACCTTTGTTAGGTCAGAATGTAATTTACGGTAATTGATTCATTTTTCCAGCTTGTGTGTTTAAACAACAATAATGACACCAAAAAATGTCGGTAGTTTCAAAAACAAAGATACCAAATCTTCAATTTCGAAACTTTTGAATCTCGAAACAGAAACTTTTCCAAAGTTTTGATGGTTTTGAAATTTGAGACTCGGTTTTGACACATCACTAGATAATAATATTCTTATTATCCATATCTAATATCTTATACATGACAACTAGGCGTTGGCAACTAGTGGGTTTTTTTTTTCAATTGAAACAAGAAACAAACACTTACTTTTATTAGTTTTTTTTTTGTGTAAAAATTGTATAACACAATTGTGATTGAATTTTCTCTATTCACTTCAGTTACACTATATTTTGTATTGTAAAATGATATTATACAGTAGACTCCCTCTTATCCGGACTCCTCGGGACCGAGGCCAGTCCGGATAACGGGTTTTCCGGTTAAGCCAACGTCCCCAAAAACTCATTAAAATGGACTATTTACTGTGATATTTGACTTAAATTTATGAGAGCATTGTATTTAGACATGTAATCACTGGTCTCAAATCTTTCTCACAAGAACAGTCGTTTCAGTACCGCCCACATTCTGTCGATCTCCTCCGGTTGAACCAATGTGCTGGTAAAAATTGTCCGGTTAAAGAGATGTCATTTCTGTCGAATGTAGTCTGGTGAAAAGGTGTCCGGATAAGTTTACTGTATTATATATATATTACAAGACTGGAAATAATACATGTTAAAAATATATATGTAAAAACGTATATATGTAAAAATAAAACTTTTATATGTTGTTGCTAATGTTGTTAATTTTGTTTTCCATTCATTATATCCTACACTTGTTTTTGCTTGTGTGTAATACAGTTTTTCACAAGAATTTATGAATTGCATATATAGGATAAAAGTTCCATTACATCCCAAGTTTTATTTGATCTTACAGAAATTTAAAATTCTGCTGGGTAGGAAAACTGTGTATGTATTTATGTATTACTCTTTTAATCTAAAATTTTAAATTTTTAAAGCTCTTGTTCATCAATTTAAAATAGACTTTAGTGTGTATTGTTTTACAAAAAATGTGCAACCCCTGCTTTAAAAGGATCTACAACAAGAAGTTTTGAGTATTGGAGAAATCTTGTTAAAAAGTTTTTCAGTTAAAAAGTTATTTCCAGCATATCTTAAATCAAAAAGAATTATTTCTTTGATTTCTTTTGTCGTATAAATCAAACAACTTAAGAGAGTTGGATGTAGCTTACTTATGATAAATGAATGAAAGAGAAGTTGAACAACAAACACTACTTGATTTTTCTTTAAGATGCTTGTTGTCACTGATAGTACGGTGTGATTAGTAAAAAAAGGGCTTAACCCGGAAATCCAAAGTGAAAGCACACTTTTGACTCCAAATTATTCAGTACAATCCACATAATGTTCGGTAAAAAAAGGTTACCCCTATTTGAGCATCAGGTTTGGGAAGAGGTCAAAGTTGGAAAATGGCACTTTTTTGTTTTTATTGAATATCTCAGAAACTATGCATTTTAGGAAAAAATCCTTCCTTTAAAAAAATAATCTACAAAAAATTCTAAACAAGAATTGTCCTCTTCATGACTTGTAGTGAATGGTTACAGAAGCTTAAATATGGTCATTTTTTTGGCTATCTTTAACACTTTAAAAGTCCAGGAGGTAGCAAAATATTTCAACAAATAATAAAGATATTGCTACAAAACTTGGAACAAAGTCACTGGATACAAAAATCATTTTAATTCATTTTTAATGATACGCTGCCTTCTCAAGGGGGTGGCCCGCTAGGATTCAGAAGAAAACATTTAAGGTAAGGATTGATTGATTTGATATGTACATCAAATTAAAGATCTTTGTTCGTAAAATACAATGCCGCAAACCCGAACTCAAACGGGCAACTGAGTCAAAAATGGCAGTCGTTGAAAGATTTATTGTTGTTGCAATTTTTGGGCGCCCGCTAAAGGTCAGAAGGAAATCATAAATTGTAGGCATGGCTTGATATGCATATCAAATTAAAAGGCTTTATTAGTGGGATACAATATCTCAAATCTGAACTCAAATGTACAAGTGAGTAAAAAAAGGGAGCCGTTCAAAGATTAAAAATAACAAATTCAATAATTATTTTACGGCGTTTATTTTATCAGTCTTTATTTAAATTTCTCTATTGCGTAGAAAATTCATTTACGATTACAGGTTTCCTGTTCAGCTTCATTGTACACCTTTGACTCCTACTTTGCAATTACTAGTCACCATACCTTCCTGGCCTGCTACACCCCCCTCCCCCTTACATAGTCTTGGCTATGCTACTTACTCAACCCTCAATATCATATTTTGGATTGTTCTTTTCTGCAGTTCTATTGAAATGCTCTTTCCAGGAAGTTTGGCAACAGTAAAAAAAGAAATTAAAAGGCTAAAGCCTGCATTTGCTTATAAAATTCACTGCTTCTGTATATAAACTTCAAAATCCATAGACCCCTCAACGTGGCAAATGTTCGCTTAATATTATGTGATATTTGGTCTAAAAAACTTTTTTGTATAAGATCACTCCAATAGTTTTTATCTCGTGACAAGTCGCCTGGAAATGAAGCTCTCAAACCTCTCTTGAGATTCTATGTGTCACACAGAACACAACAATCTGATGAAAGGATAATGGTATCCATAATAGAAACACTGTTTCATTAAGTAACATCAAATTTATTTGTGAATAAAGATAATTATAATAACAATACCTTTATTGCAAAGAACAATTTCACAAGATAATGCATCAATAAATATGTATATGATCTATAATAATCAAAGTCATGACATAAATCTTAGAGAAATAAATATACGGAAAGTAAATAAAGATACGTCTTATAACACTTAAAACATATATTTACGCTTATACTGTTACTCACAAGACGGTAAATATAAAAAAGATGGTAAGTGGTGATCGATTTCGATTGGACACTCCAATCATCATCAGACCCAATAGGCGAATCTACATTCGCAAATTTAACAACACGTACAATGCTGATCAAGAAGTTATTTAAATAAATATACAAAGTGAAAGTAATAAATAACTGTCCCCTAGATATTGTGATTTACAACATAAAGATATATTTTTAAAATTAATAACTAACACATAAGTACAAATATTAACATAGTTTACAACAGCGGCATATTTATAAATGGGTGTAAAGGTTTGTGTAAATGACACATTGCATATTAAAGCATTGCCTTTATTTTTTGACAAGCAAGAGCTGTTCAGAACGTAACAGATATTTGAACGTAACAAGCTGTGAAAGACAGAACCAAAAATTGACTGTACTGCCCAGATTTTAAATTGCTGAGTTCATTTCAACAGCTGACATTCAAAGAGAGTAACTAGTTATTTGTGCAACTAGTGAGCAAAGGGAGCAATTGACTCACTTGAGAGAAATACTTACTCACGAGCTGTAGGCGAGTGAGGAATGGTTTCTAGAGTGAGGCAATTGCACTTTGCACTCGAGTTGCACATATATATTTTTTCTACAGTTACCATAAAACAAATAAATTGGTAAAGAAACGTGACATATTTTTACACAGAAGTGAACTTTTAATATGACATTTAATGTAAAGTGACAAATACAACAGTACAACAGCTGACCAGCCGATTTACAGCCAGTGCTGCCAACGTATTTTGCGTGCATACGACCTTGTCTGCATGTTACGCGCTCACTATTTCGTGCCTTCATGTTGCAAATCTGGAGTGAGACAAAGTAATTAGAGTGAGACAATGTTAACATTGATGAGCGAATTGGCCACTTTGCTTTCTCAAATCAGTAAGAGAACATGTACATTGTTAGGTAACTGTAGGAAAAATATATTTTCTTATACAGTTACAATTTTGGAAAACCAAAAATACAGAGTTTTTTTTAAGCAACAGTACAATGAAATCAGTATAATTAAAATGCATATTATAAAGAATTATTCAGTAAGTAAAATGACCTATTAAGCTACTTAACTATATGATTGTGCATTACAAATAATAGACTTCATACTTTCTTAAATTCAGCCAAATTATTTCATTGTTAGCGAACTTCCCTATAGGGAGGTAGCTATTACCGTAGGTGGCACGGTAAGACCTAGGCCTGGGACCGTTTTACTTTTTCATTTTGATGACCAGTATGCTGAGGAATTCATGCTGAGGATCCAGATTTGTATTATTGTCAAATGATAATTACATTGCATATAAAATTGTCACTTATCTTAACAAAAAACAATAATTAGTAACTCATTGATCATAGTTATTTATATAGATAAAAAATCATTAATATCAAAACATACAAGTTAAGATTACAACAGGGAAGTACATAAACAATGTGGCATTTAAATAAAATTCACATTAACACAATTATTACAACAGATAAAATAAAACATTTCTTAGGCCTAGACTACATTTAAGTTAAAATTCATATTTAATAATTGAAAACACAGGACTTTCTTACTCAAACACATCATGGACGTCACAGTATAACGTGAACAGTCTAAAAATACCTCTTCTGAATTAAATGCTTTTCCTTCACCCATTTTTTCATGATCTTTTAAAAATTTTCTCAACACAAAAAATTAGGCATTTTGAAGTGTTGTTGTAATGGTTACAGAGAAAGTTTCAAAAGTATCTACATTTAAGTCCTGTGTTATTCTTATGGAGAATTAAGCTGTAGCATTTTACTAAAAAACCCTTATTTCCTTTTCTGTAGCAGCAAACCTATAAGAACGTGTTGAATCTACTGTTACTTAAACAGGGAAGCAGTTTGCGTCAAAATCAATGTCTAGCTTGCTTGACTGGGTTGCTGGCATTAAGGATAGGGAGAATTTAATTGCTTATAACCTCCCCACTAGACAGAAGCGGACCGTGGAATAGTTATCGAAATATGGCCATGGTTCAGATGAGATCTTTTTCTGGTTTCATAACAGCAATTAGTTTTGATATTTGAAAATACCGAGCAGATCACCTGTTTCCAGTATTATGTTAAAAACTATCACAAGCCAGTTGTACTAAGCTGCTGAGCCTTATGTTTGGCAACTACCTGGTTTTTGTAGCAGATAATTCTGCATCTAGTTTTTAATTTCTTCTCAAACCTATCCTCAATGAAGATGTAAGAGATCACTTGATGTCTTGGTTTTCCTAAACCCAAATTCAGTGACTGATGCAAGCGGTAGTAATTATGCCCAAGCATGAAACCAGCCTTTAAATTGTAAATGATCAATAGTTGTGTCATGTAGTTTTGAAAAAAGTAGCTTCGTCTTATTTAGTTTTGAAATCCTTCAAATCATTAGAAACGAAAGCCAACATCTTCCGAGGCCACTTGTGGTGATCAATTTGCATACACTAAGACGATAACTTACAAACAAAGTACACTAAACATAAAACAATCTGACTCTGGAGGTTGAAATGAGGGTCTGGTCATCGAAGAATTTGGTTTCTATGATCACATTGCCACTGAAACAAAATTAACAATTTATTCAACCTTTCATATTTTTTTACTTTTTATTCTATTTTTTTCTACGGTTTGTTCTACTTTATTAATTAATAATTACTATAAGAGGCAGTTATACAAGTATAAAATACTGTTGGTCAAATAGTACAAAGGAGATTAATATTTGTTCCAAGAGATATTGAAATGCTGTGATTCTTATACAGTGTTCATGAAATTTGACATTAAAGATTTTATATTACCACCATTTTAAATAGCTTGAGATATTGGAACGAAATTTTTAAGCTCTTTTTACCTTCTAATCAATACTCATACCAATTTTGAAATTTATATCTTGAAAAATGCCCAAGATATAAAATAGTTTTAAAAAAACACAAACCGACCCACATACAGAAATCCAGGCATTTTAGACCCATACTTATATGGCATTTTATGTTTGTCTTATCCCAAGGAACGAGTCCACAAAATATGTCCCAGATAATTTGGATACACCATGTATAGCCTAACAACAGCTGTAGATAGAGATACCTAATCCAATTTCTTATATTTATGGATGTAAAAATGCAAACAATCAGTTGGGAACTGTGCAATGAGCTACAACCAAACTATAAACCACATGGTCTTATTTAAACCCAGCATTAGTAATATTAATTTAGGAATTGAAAGTGATTATATAAATACATTAGAGCAGCGGTTCCCAAACTATTTTGTCTGGCAACCCACCTTTATCTTTGACTTTTTTGTGACCCTCCTAAATGATAAAATGATTATTAATCATCATGTATAGAGAAAAATATCTTTGAATAAAATTATGAAGATAGTTAAACTAAAAACTTGTATTTCATAAAATGTAAATTGTTGAGGCTTTTGTAGCGCCGGGGTTTACTATTTACAAAATACTATGTCTGATTAGAATGTTGACAATTGTAGAGGGTGGAAAATTACCACTCATAGCCTATCTCTGTTGTTATTTTTCAAGTACACCAAAAAGGGCGATACAATCTTACACATAAACATTATTGAAAATTGAATCGGCTTTTGACTCTAATGAATTGATGCAAAGTAGTTTTTTCTTTTTAACATACTGGTGCACCTCTACATGTACTGTTTAAGACAATATGCAGCTTTCATTTATAGAAAAATCTTTTATAATTCTGTAGCTAGAAGGAGTTAATGAAATATAATTCATGAGATATGTTCAATTTTCTATTTAACCAAATTATTTTTAGGATATTTTGGGTCCAGGCATGGCCATGCAGACATAAATATTTAGAGTTACACTAAATCAAAATTGTATTAAATCCAAATACGTCATCAAGATGGCGCCTACTAGATGTGGCTCGGCTGATTGCAAAAGAAATATTACGAAGAACAGTAAATGTATCAAGTGTTTTGGATATTGTCTGTCGTGGTTTCACATTTCGTGTGCCGGTCTATCAAACGAAGAGTTAAATATTTTTAAGGAGTTAGGAGATAAGGCTTTTTTCAAGTGTGAAACGTGCCGGTCGTCATCCGCAACGATGCCGCCGCCGTCGTCTGCTCCCTGCTCAGCAAGTTCTGTGAAAAATGACGACGAATGTGATGTACCATATTCTGATGACTCATTTCAATCTCTCTCGGATAAAGTGTGCAATTTAATTATCACGCAAAACAAGATGAGTGAGCAAATTATGTTTTTACTCAGTGAAAATGACAAGCTGAAGAACGGACTGAAACACCAGTCTGAAATCATTGGTGATATCGTTTTTGACAAGTCTACTAATAACACGTATGCTAGCAAACTAAAATCACAGAATTTAAAGAGAGGTGAAGGTAGTATTCAAGATCTAACTTCCTTAAATTGTAATCTTATCGATAAGGATATTCTTAAACCTAACCCTAGTATGCTTGACAGTAATGAAAATGTCAACAACAACAACAACAACAACGTTGAACAGACAGCTAGTGACAAATCTGTTGTTAGTGGTCATAGAGTAAAAGAGTCGACTATGACGAGCTCGTTGCTTCGAAACCCAGAAGTCCGACCGGCTACATCCAAGTCTGAATCTGCAGCAGCGGAGTCAAATAGGAGTGAGATGGCAGCTGAATCCGATTCGTTCCAGACAGTCTCCTATCGGAAGCGAAATATGCGTCGTGACTTTCAACAACATCAACAGAAGAGTCAGAATAATGGAGGCCGTGGCGTTGGGAATGTCAGTTACAGACAAAATCAAAACAATAACAAACCTAAATTTATTACTGGAAGTTTAAGTGCAGCTGATGGCGATAGGCTTAAAACTGCCGAAAAGAAGTCGTTCCTGTTTGTATCTAGGCTATCACCGGACACTGACTCTAAGGATTTGGAATCTTTCCTATTAGAAAAATTTAGCAATGAATCGTTTAAAGTAGAATCACTAAATTCTAAGTACCCGGAGGAATACTGTTCATTTAAAGTCACCATTCCTTCCAGGATTGACGAAGTAGTGTATAAACCTGACTTCTGGCCGAAGGGAGTGTTTGTGAACAGGTTTGTTGTCAAGAAATCTTTAAACTCACAGGACAAACGAGTTGTACCTCCAATGTGACTGACTTTGAAAACCAGGTAAGCACTGACGTAGCCAACCCTTGTGCACATATAATTGACGTAGGCCCAGGCCTAAACAATTTTAACTTCAATACCTTGCTATGGATCTGCCGTAATCTTTGTGACAAGGTCAACTTCGTTGAAATATTTGCTAATGATGAAAACAGTGATGTTGTTTTTATTACTGAACATTGGCTTTTGGATTCTGACATAAAATCATTACATCTAGAAAACTTTACACTATGTTCAAGCTTTAGTAGGCATCGGTTAGAAAGAGGAGGTTCAGCAATATTTATTAGGGACAACAATGCTATTAATTGGTCTCCTGCACCTATTATTACCAGTTTAGCCTTGGTAAATGTTTTTGAAATTAGTGCTCTCTTCCTAGACAATCCGAAGATTTTATTGGTGTGCATTTATCGAATTCCAGACAAAGACAATACTGAGTTATTCTTGCTCAAATTCGAAGAACTTTTAACTGTAACAGCATCCTTGGAATGTGATGTTCTTATAGCTGGTGACTTCAACATCGATGTTAAAGATAACGTGTCTCATGTCTGTCAAGATTTTTGTAACTTAATTACAAGTTTTGGGCTCAACATTATGCTAAGAGACGAAGTAACTCGACCCAGCCTTTTAAATATGCTTGATGGTTCGTGCATTGACAATTATGTAACCAATTTGCATCCCTCGAGGTGGAAGGCTACTGTTATTCCGACTACGGCGTCTGATCACTACATCGTAAGTTCGTCTATGTGTTTGGACTTGGCTCCTGCTTCCACACAGTCACATCCTCCGAGGTCCATGGGTGCGTCACAGTCTAGGCGCAGGGTGTCAGACGATAACGCTGGTGTTTTTTGTAATCATATCAAGGATACAAACTGGAATGAAATCTACAGCGCAGATGATGTAAATACTAAGATATTGTTATTTCTTAATCTAGTCATTATTTTTGTAAATTGTTGTTTTCCTTACGTTAGGCCAAGATCTGCTAAACCACGCAAACACATTGGTAATTGGTATACTGGTGAACTTAGGAAATTAAAAGAAGAATGTTTGAATTATTTTTATCTAAGTAAAGATACTGGTTGTGAAGCTTTTAAGGTTAGGTACAAGTTATTAACTAAGATCTATAATAAGAAAGTAAAGGAAGCTAAGTTATTGTTCAATAACTCATGTATTTCTAATGCCTGCAACAAGCCCAGGGTAATGTGGAATATTATTAGAAAAAATATCTCAACAAATGAGCGCCCAGCTGTTATATTACCAGATGTTGATTCACCTTTAAACTCAGAAAATTTTAACTCTTTTTTTGTAAGTAGTATTAATGATATTGTTGATAACATTCCTGTTAGTTTAACCAGTGCCGATGAGTATATGTCTAGTGTTCCTTTGTGTAATGTTAAATTTGAATTTTGTGAGGTATCAGTAGAATGTGTACATAAAGCTATTTTGTCTTTAAGCAGCAGCAGCAGTCTTGATATTTTTGGTTTAAGTTCTCAGATTCTAAAGTTTGGTAGTGATTATTTATGTGAAGTTATTGCACACATCATTAACTCCTGTATTACAGGAAAAACTTTCCCAGACAAACTTAAAATTTCTAAGATAGTTCCAATATTTAAAAAAGGTAATAGATTGGATGTTAGCAATTATAGGCCTGTGGCCTTGGTGCCCACTCTGTCGAAGGTCATTGAGAGGGTGCTTTCATGGCAAATAGTTAACTTTCTGGATTCAAACGGTTTGCTTTCGTGTGCGCAATTTGGTTTCCGCAAGCACCGATCCACTACGGAGGCGGTCTTAAATTATATTCAGGACACTCTAGAGGCCATGGAAAGAAAACAAGGTGTTTGTTCAAAATTGTTTGATCTCTCAAGGGCCTTCGACACTGTGTCTCACAGTGTTTTACTAGGCAAACTAAAGTCATTTGGTTTTTGTGATAATGCCGTGTCTTTGATTGAGTCATATCTGAGCAACAGATTCCAGGCTGTTTATTTCCAGGATTCACTGTCAGAGCTTAAACACACTCCCCACGGAGTGCCACAAGGGTCCATTTTAGGCCCCCTACTCTTCATTATTTATGTTAATGACTTACCTTTTAATGTCCAAAGTAATGATGTTTCATGTTTTATGTATGCAGACGACGTGTGTTTGAATATCAAGTCTACTAAGTGTATGCAGGACAGTGTAATTTCTGAGTCTGTTAAAACAATGTCCGACTGGTGTAAGGCCAATAAGCTGTCTCTTAACGTAAACAAAACTCAAAATCTGGAAATGACCTATGGTAACTCTAAGAATTCTCAAACTCCAGTCAAATTCTTAGGTGTGATGATACAGAGCAACCTAAAATGGTTTTCCCATATTGATTTTATCGCTCCAAAACTCTCCAAAGGAATTTTTATTTTAAGAAATTTAAAATCAATTGTTTCTCCAGATGTATTGTTAACTGTGTATTTTAGTTATGTTCATTGTCATTTAGTATATAGTGCCATTCTCTGGGCTAATTGTAGCCATGCCAACATCTTGTTTGTTTTACAAAAAAGAGCCATTAGACTGTTAAGTAATGCTCCCCCACGTAGTCATTGTAAGCCTATATTTAAGAAATTGTCTGTGATGCCCTTAACCTGTATTTATATTTTTCAATGTCTGTTGTATGTTAAAAACAACTGTGATATTTTACTTTGTAATAAGGATGTGCACAAGTATGCCACAAGGAATTGTAATAATTTAAGAATAGATCAGTGCCTTTATGCCACCACTCAAGCTAGCTTCAAATATACCGCTACCAAATTGTACAACAAGTTACCAGTTAAAGTTAAAAAGTTACCATTAAATGTTTTTAAAGTAGCCATCAAGAGAATTCTTCTAAAAAACTGTTTTTATAAAATAGAAGATTATTTTGCCTCAACCTTAGATTAGTTTTAAGTTGTATTATATTGTTGACGCAGCCTATACACTATTGTACTTTTCACAATTTGTGTCTATGGAATAAAGATGATTTGATTTGATTTGATTTGATTTGAAACAAAGAAGAGTTTAAGGAAATATATCAGTACAAATCCAATCGGGGAGTGGAATTTGCTTTGTCTACAGGTTTGCTGCAACAGAGACTTACTTGAGTACATTTGCCGGCATCATCTGTGACTCAGGTGCGGCCTCTATCAGGGATTGCCATGTGTTGGTTGAGTTTGGTATCACAAACCCAAACTCAAAATACCACTCTTCCATCACTCTCCCCTACAAAAAAAACTCAAGTTTATCACTGATGACAGTAAATAGTATTTGTTTTTTTGTAGTGCAGTAAAAACAACTGTTTCCAATACATGCATTGTTAAAGAAATTATTTTTATTCCTAGGATGGATAAAAACCAGCACGAGTCGAAAACATTTGCAGATTTTTCTCACTTGTTATTCCCGACTAATAAAAGTTTACTTGTGTTTACATGTTGAGTTTATTATTGTGTTACATTGAATGTTTTGCTTCCATAAAATCCAATTTTTATTAAATTTGGTATGTGGGCGTATCCATGGTATCTCCAGATATATTTTTTTAACATTTTGAAACTTTCAATAGGTGATTTTCCTATAAAAAGATGGTAAAATCGGATTTTCAAAATAAAAACGGGTCAAAAGGATTTTGATTACAGCTTAGTAAATTATTGCCCTTTTTAACTCCAACAAACCAGAAAAACCTCCCTGTAAACATTACAGTTAAAAAGTAATTAAAACTATTGTTATTTTCCCCATAAAATATCAGATCACATATATACACAAAAATATAATAGTAATGAGGAAATCAATTATGTTTTACTCCAACCTTGAATAATATCTTCTGCTCTAGTCGAAATTTTTCTAATGCTTCAACCGAAGAAAAGTTGATTTCTCTTGATACTGCTCGACACTTCAGAATTTTCTTTGGGACTCTGGCCATATGCTCGACATCGGGTGAAGATCTAAAACATATAAAAATTGTCTTAGACTTTGATAACCAAGCATTTTTAATAGGTACATGAAAACAAAAAAACATTCTAGGCCTATATGTAATCATGTGGTAGCTTAGGGCCTAACTGATAGTTTTGATGTGACGAGTCTAGTACTTGACTCGTTAAGTATCGAGTCCAATGAAGTAGGCCTATCGAGTCGACTCGATACAAAATCTACGGTACTCGAGTACTATTACTCGTTAACTAAAGCTTACTAGAACCGCCACTACAAGTCCATAGCGCTTGGGTTGGGTGCATTTAATACTCGAACTCTTCTACTCGAGTCGAGACTTGATGTTATTCCAGATTTAACCACTATGAGTCGACAGCGCTTGTGTGCTTGACAGTTCGTAATAACACTTGATGAAGATATAGTTTCAAAACCATCCGCTACAAGTACATAGCGCTCGAGTAAATGGCTTACTCGAGTCAAGATACCGTTTTTTATTAATCTCTTTTGTTAATCCAACAAAGTTTTATTTTAACCAATAAAACCCATAATTAATTATCAACTCTATGTGAGATGAATAACCGATCTCGCTCTCATCTTAAATCTACACAGACAGACAGAGTATAAAACGAATCTGAGCCAAGTCTGTCTGACTTGAGTAAAGAGATTCGAGTCAAGACAAGATTAATTTCCAGAATTCGCAGCTACGAGTCAACAGAGCTTCGGTGCTATACAGGTAAGAATCGAGTCCAGTACTTGAGTACTGACTCGAGTAGTTGTGGTATCGAGTCGGGAAAGTACTCGACTCGTCTCATCACTACTAAATGATCCAATTTTACAGACTCAAGTTTATTTTTAATAATGTTTGCACTCAGATTTAATACGTTAATACTAATTTAAAAATACACAGAGTGTTTAAACAGAAATAAAGACAGTACTATATAATGCTTCCCCATAGGTTTGTATGGATTATTTTATTTGTTTATTTTGAGTTGATTAATCATTGCATAATTAGACTTTGTGACAAATCGCCTATCAAAAATATTTATGTAAGTTACCGTAATGTTATGATTGTGACTTTGTAAATAAAGCAAATTCCATTTAGAGAATTTCCCATTTATAGTAAATAAGCTATTTAACATTGTTTTATGTTATGGGTGACATTTTTCAGACCGGCTAGATTAAAGAGGCGCATTCACTAATGCAGACCTACTTTAAATCATTGGAATTGGTAACAAATTTATTATTTTATAACTAAGCTGATCACGAATATAGATTAACAAAACATGATATTCTTGAAAAAAATATGTAATTTTGATTAGTCGATTAATTGGTCATAACATTAAAAATACAAACCGGTGTTGATTGGCTATTTTATACGAGGGCCACGTTTAAGAAGAAAGAATTTACCATTAGGCCTACAAACAACAATTCCTAGGAACTCACTCCGATTTGGCTTTTAGCCATACAAGATTTGTTTAACATGTCAATAGAAGTACCACAAGTTTTATATTTTGTTTGATGTACCTATCCTACTATATTATTACATAAAATGTGTGTTTTACTACAAGATCCAAAACAAGATTTTTGATACTTACAAATCTTCATTTCCTTGCCATAAAATTTTACCAGTGTCAGCATCTCTCAAGTTCATCCAGTTACTGAAGATATTTGGATAAGAAAATAACTGCAAAACTTGAGACATTGATTGACATTGAGTAAAATTCAGGGTTCCCACTAGATCAGTTTAGCGCTCAAAGGGTGTTGAGTTGTCTAAATAATAAGGTTATTCAAAGGTGAATAAACAAAGTTCATTCCATATGTCTGTGCTACAACAAAACCAGTTTTACTTCATCATGCATAGGCCCTACTAAAGGCATAGTTTCAAAACTGAATAATAAACAACGGAGGTATTTGTAGTATATTTCATATAGTACTGTGCATTGTATGAGCATTGTAAACTGTAGGCCTATGATAGCAAGTTTGGCCTAATAAATGTTACAGTGGTCAGATAATCTCGCCATCTCAACCAACTAGGCCTAAGAACACAGCCTGGCCAAGCAACGCTTTCCCAGCAAGTCCTTCCCCAGTCTACCATGAGCTCCCGTGATGTCACCTAACCTACGCATCACTCCTGTCTGTATCAGCCTTGTCATGTTAACTAATGATGTTCTCGTTCTATCGCCGGTAAACTAACTACTACAAAAGTTACAATATTAGCCTGCTTCTAGGATTTGTTTACTTGAATACTGGATTTCTTCTTCTTTGACCGAACTAGTCAGATATAATGCATCAGTTTAGTATATATTTACACAACATTTATATTCACATTCACAGAATACAAGTCATATTTTGTTAAAACACTTGGCAGATGTGACTTAGAGGGTGAAATGGTTTAAAGTGGAACCATTTCTCTATTACTTTTATCATTGACTATACACAGAATAGACTTCCCATGTACCGTAATGTAACAATTTGAAGCCAAGGAAATAGATAAAGTTCAGCATCAGAAGGTATTAAGTGTATTGGGTTGAATATTATTTAAAATCAACACAGTATCATAGCAAACAGGTGATTTAATTATCACTTAACACAGAATATTGTTCTCAACAGATTGCACCACGTTTTTTGGCTTCAAATTTTTACATTAGCCTACATGGGAAGTCTATATTGTGTCTAAAGTCTATGCTTTCATATAATTGGTGAGTGGATTTTGACAGGAGGTTGAAGCACTAAATACTTCACAGTCTTGCTAACCCAAGCATGTGACCAATCCAAACCAATTTTGGAAGAAACAAACCTGTTGCTGAGTTTTGGAAAAACTAGGGTGTACAGCCAATTGGGAAACTAAAAAAACTAAGAATTGACTGGAGGTTTCTTGTCGTCATTTCATTAGCGGTATTCTTACCGGTTATCTTTTTAGGTCACTCTGTTACAAAAAACTCAATCAAGGGGGTCAATCATGTGTGGTGCCAGGATAGTAGTAGATAACACCTACCTATATATACCTCACAGAAATATCCATGACTGTGGGAGTAATATATAGCCATTCTCAGTCATTAAAATAAACTGTTACTTTTTGGAGAAATTTTGATGTAACGTATAGGTTATTCTCAATTCAAAAAATGTAGTTGTCTAAACAAGATCCAGTCCTAATTAGTTTGGTTTAGCGGGGGCTCTGGGTTACCTAGCAGGAACACGATTAAGGCATCAGAGGATTTACGAGGGCGGTTTTCTAAGTAAGGGCCACTTTTGCGTATGAATTTGTAGTTTGCTTATATGTCGCAACAAGGCTCCACACCACTTACTACATCATTTGTGAACAGAATTACACTATTTGTAGCTCTATAGCTGATATGTATGCTTCGCTGTGAGTTTAAAATATAACTGTTACAACATAGTGTTACTATCGAATCGCCGGATAAGGTCAATGGTAAGTTTTTTTATTACAAGACACATATTCAATGCCGACATTATGACTTGAAGATTCAGGCCCTAATGCAATGAGGGTAAAGTGCGGGAATGGGTTATGGAGTGTTAGGCCTACTTAAAAAACCCCCCTCGTAATTGATTTCACACATTCCAATGTTGTTTAGCAAAAATGAGGATTGTTGACGTCTGATGGTGTAGAGAGGCACTAAACAAGTTACGTTTATCGTTAACAATCAAGATGAAGTGTCAATACAAAAAATCTCGGCAGTGCTACTATGATGCATACCGGTTATCCTAAAAAAAGACATATGCATTTCTCAACATGTCATGTACGGTTCCTTGGCAGAGGAACGACTCAATTGAACCTCGGATAACCGATGAAGAGTATTTTTCTCCAAGGTATCTTATGATCTAGGTAGGCCTAGTCAAGTACCTAACCAAAACATTTTGTGACAATAGCCGATTCTACTTTGGTAACTTGTTATCACCAACATAATAGCTAACTAATAGAAGAAATACTGTAGCCTACAGAGTAAATAACCTAGGTCTATAAAATACTCAATTAATGCTTCAATACTAGTGTTGGCATATTCTTATAAAGGATACACTTGAAATCCACTCAATATGTCAGTAGTTTTAGGCCCCATTGTCTTTCAAGAACAAATCAACATTAGCTACAATCTACGATTCCAAGCGAGAACTTTACAGGACCCAGATGCCATTTATCTTTTTTTTTTATGTCTAATGGCGGGGACACACAAATAAAATAATTAGTTAATATACTGAACTTGTTGTAGGAAACCGTATACAAAATTACTTTAGTGTTCTAACTTCGATGCACAGACACTATTAACCATTGGTTGTTTATACTAAACCATTTCAGTATTGACAACAACTAGTAACAGAACTGTGAACTGACAACTGACACTGACACTGACAACGACAACGACAACAAGCAAAGACGACGACAGTTGGAGACTTGGAGTGGAGTTGACAGTTTGTTCGACCGCGATACAAAACAAGCTGATGGACCTTTTTTTTGTTAGTAAAAGGGCAAGCTATATTTCCTAATGTACAGCTCTACAGTTGGAAGTAGACTAAAATGTAAACGTAGGTACTGGTACCCATTGTTTATTTGGAGTAAATATAGGTTATTTAAATTGTTTTTAATAGCATCATAGACTAACCAACACAAGTAGACTTGTCTTCCCATTGTAAACTTTGAAGCACGTTTTTCGTGTCTAGTTCATGTACATACCAGCACAATTAATTCCACAATTAATGAATTTTCTAATCAGCTCAATTTTTACACTGGGTGCTAGTGTCGACAAAATTTTGTTTCTATTATTTTAGGGTTAATTTCTTGATTTGTGCTTTACTGTTTGGTTATATAACTAGGAGAAAAGTTATTGGTTATGATTAGATCGTATTATTTGGTTAACGTAGTTTTAAATGACTGTAATAACTGGAAACAAATTGTAAACAAAACACTACCTCTACATAAACCGTACAGAACTAACAATAACATTGTCTTCAGCTGTTGCATAAGGATGAGAAATCTACTTGGGAGAGTATGTTTTATGATAGCATCTAATTATTGTGTTTCATTTATATCATACTTGAGGTGGTCCACAAGGAATCAGAAGGGAATCTAAATGACAGCATATGTCGAAAATTAATTAACAGTCTTGAAACAGGGGAGTACAGCGCCGCAACCCAGACCCATAAAGGTTCATCCTTCCTAGCCAAAATGACGGCAGTTTCAAAAACTAGATTTTTACTTTCTCCCCCTATACATAGTATATAAATGGAGAAAGTATGCCTATTGCTTTCATGAACATAAATTTTCGAATTTAAATTTTTGGTAGATATATCTGTTTTGGCCCCCCTGAACACAAAAAAGTTGTTTCGTAGTAATGTGTGTGTGTGTGTTTGGGAGGGGGGTTGGACAGAGTAACAACACAGAGAATTGAGGTAGAAATGTACAGAGGAAACACGCTTACGGAACGACCGTGTGCTTTCCGCTCTAGTATGTTGGCGGAAATATACTTGTGACGAGCAAGCGAAGAGTCCGAACGGCGAGTGTAGTGCTGCTGTGCAGAAATTCCTATCGCACAGGGCACATGGTCTTCATCCACCATGAACGTTTTCCCTAGACGCCAGCGGATACACAGACACCATGTTAAGTGTACTATTGTTTCCTGTACCTTACTGCGGTTGGGTACTTTTCCATTGTATCTCCTCGCGTTTTGCATTTCGATTTTTAATGGTGATTTTCCCATTAAACCCCATAAATAACGGGAAAACCGGATAAACAAAAGATTTGAATTATTTTCATTAAAACTATTGTTTTGGTATTTTTAACTCCACGCAAAAACGGCAAAATTGCTTCATATGGTTTAATTTATTATGGTAGCTCTCCTAAAATACACGAGGTACTTCTATCTCAGAAAAAAATCATCAGAATAATGTGTAAAGAGGATAGTGAAGCACACTGTAAACCCCTTTTTATTGAATTTAAAATATTGACCATCATTAACTTATACATTTATCAATTATTATTGTTTACTTTTAAGAATAGCTTTAAATACAAAATGAGAAATGAAGTGCACAGTATTAGTACCAGAAACTGCAAAAAGATTTATCTGCCTCAGGTACGGTTGGAAAAAACAAGATCAGGACATGTTGTGATGGGTATCAGGCTATTAAATAAATTACCTCTGGCTGTGACAGATTTAGACTTTAAGAATTTTAAGAAAAGGCTGTTCTTATTTCTAGTAAACAACCCTCTCTACTGTATCGAAGATTTTTTTTAGCATGTCTGATAAGTTAATAAAAAATATTTGAAATAGGATGTAACTGTGATTTAGATATAAGTTGCACGATTTTTTTAAATTTATTACTGTCAAATTTTTAATCTCTTGCCATGGTCTGTAACTTTTGTATTTATTTGCTCGTCGCTCAATTTCAATTTTAACTCTTGTATGATATTGACTGTATTAACTGAATTACTTGTTATTTATATATTTATACATTTATTTACTCAAGACTGAATACGAGATGTATTTACCAACAATTTGACCTGTCTATGCATTACATATGTAAAAATGATGAATAAATGTCTTATGTCTTATTACATCCAAATAGAACGGCTAGACACGGCGTAAGCCCCTCGGGCGTAGGCAAACTCGGCCTAGTTCTGATGAAGTGCGACAAGTATTCCCAGGCTAGTGTCGGAAGAGTAGAGGAGGTTTTTAGTGCGTAGTCTCTGGGCCTTAAGCCCGTTGGAGTCCCACACTACAGGCTAGCAACCTGTGTGCATAAATGCATTTTCCCACCTCTCCCTAAAAAAAAAAAAACATCCAAATAGAACAGTGGTACTGCTTTGTCATGGAATTTCAAACTAATATCATAGATTAAAGGTGTAGGCAGATTAAACAGTAGTTAGATTAAAGTGTCTACTACTTCAATCTATGATAATATTGACGCACAAAGAATTTGCACTCAAAAATTAAATTAGCCTATTTTTATTTTTTTGACATACGACATAGGCTATGTAACACACTTAGCTTTATTTTAACATGTAACCCACACTATAAAAAAACTTAAGGCAAAACTATAGGATGAGGAAATACCCCCGCTGCAGCAAACCTGCAGACTAAGTGAATTTCAACTTGTCTGATTACACTTTTACTAAGATATTTCCATAAAACACATTTATTCCCAATTTAAATAACATTAGATTTAACGAGTGCTTAGGTTTGCTGCTAAGGGAAGGTAAAAAGTGTCTTTTGACCATACGTAAATAGTATAGGATGAAATAAATAAATATGCCAAATTTTATCAATATATATCCATAAACAAGTAAACTACAAAAGATTTCATTTTCTCCATAAGAATAACATGGTAATTTTAAATTACACTATTTTAAATTTTCTCCCTGACCGTTAGGCATACAAAAGCGCTTCAATATACTAAATTATTTGTTTTTTTAAGCTCTACAAAATGGTTTAAAATTAAATTGCACAATTTTTTGAGTTTAGGGTCAAAAATGGGAAAACCTCATTTTTACCCCATAAAACCCCCATTCCCATGGTCCGATTATGCTGGTTCGCGAACGTTCGAATAAACGTAGGTTTACACGTTTGTACCAAATTTCATCAAAATCGGATCATTTTTGTTCGAGTTATCGCGCTAACGGACACACACACACACACACACACATATACCGGGTGTCCAAAACCACCCGTACACCCCTTTCAAAACGTTTTCTTACAAACAAAAAATAATACAAAACCAGCTAAATTGGGTACGGTCTACCAAATGGTGATAATTTCAAATCCAAAATCACACCGGAAGTGGATTTTTCAGACCGGAAGTTTACTTTTTTAAATGTAAGCTACCAATTTTGATTACAGAATCGGATTCTACGTTGAAAAATGCATAACTTTTGTATAAAACATTTTTTGAAAAAAACTAGTTTTCTACCTCTAATCCCCTATTAAAGTCAATAATTTTGGGCCATTCATCTGTCAAAGTTACTGGAAACAATAATAGAGAAAAACAAATAACAAAGATTACATAAAGACATATGATGAATAGAATCAGCTGTTTATTGTAAACACCTTAGTAATTGAGTAACAGCTGTTCTACACATTGCTTAATTTAATTTTTGTTTAAATCATTTGTTTTTACATTTGACCATTCTAATGTAAAAACAAGTGATTTTTTTTATAAAATGTGATATTAAGCAATGTGTAGACCAGCTGTTACTCAATTACTATAGTCTCTTGAAATTGGCTAAAATGACTTGTAGTATCCAAAATCAATAGTTGTCATGGGTAACTATCCACCATATGTGTTTTGTATTGTTCTATAATTAAAGGATGACTTCACCCTCAATAATTATTTACGGTGAATTGCTTTTTAAAAATTGAAAATTCAGCACCTACCTCCAAATTTATATCACTTCCTTATTGTAGGTACTTATGTTATTTTATATATTAGTTAATTGACCACTTTATCTTCATTCATGAGTTGATCCGCGATCAAATACTCAAATACCTTGCTCGATGGATGATCACATCCATTGACCAAATGCTCTTATGAGCGGAAACGGAGCCACGGCCTCCAGTGGTCCTAATCCGGGTCCAAACCCTTTTATGCTTAAGTTCACGCACCAACTAGCACTTCCCCCAAAAGTATTTGGCCCGTGAGCAAGAGAGAGTGATGACTTTGGTGCCCAGAGGAGAGACAAAGGGTTTAGGTGCTCTTTAACACTCCCATTACTGAGAGGACAGCTGGAAGGTGACCTTTTGTGTAGCCACCATTCTTTGAATTACTTGAGTAATAGCATATAGGTCGTTTAGGAAATAACAAAATTATTTCAATCTTAAACTTAAGTCCGAGTAATAGTATATGGACTGCTCAGGAAACCGCAAAGTTGTTTCCTTTCTAAAATATAACCTCACCTATTACCTAAAAAGCAATTCAACATGCTGTTCCTAGCTTTTTATTTTTTGTACATTATCAAGTTGTGTTTGTGTGCTAACTGCTGCAACATAGTATTAGCTGGCCACATATTCCCCTAACATCGGCTCCCCTCTCAAACTCACCCCAACATTACGATTCAATCACGAATTGATTTACGTGTTCAATCATGGTAAATGGTTAGTGTGTCCCTTTACTCCACTATCCTTTTCCTTCCACCAAGATACCGTATTATTGTCAGGGAGAAAACAAAAAGTTGTCAGCCAGGTAATGTCTACTGGTCTTGAAACTTGTATGACACCTGAATTTACAAGTTAGATAAGCCCATTGGCCGTGGCTTCTGCACTCGTCACAGGCTTCTCACATCAATCAGGTTAAGCAAAATTTTAGGAAAACCGATCCATGCATTTTCATCAACTTAGC